GCCAATCACAGCGACACTTTTTGTCGCGCATGCCGCTAATAGTTGGTCTTGAGCATACAGAGTCGGTGGGACCTTCTACGCGACCACTACATCCGCGCAAGCAACAGCAAGGCGGGACAATGCGTCGATCGAAACGAAACAATACGGGTTTCGATCTAGATGAGCATCGTGCCGGCACGCGGTCGTGTATCATTACGGCGTGATGCACGTTAAAGACCCCAGGCTAGCGGTTATACTGTACTGGCTAAGTTGCTCATCTACAGTGTAAACCAGCGTCGCCCCATCCTGGCAGACCGACCTTACGGTGTATAAATCACTAAACGTCCAATTTGACTTTTGACGGAGACAAACCCAGTGGCGCAAGATAATTGACAACCATATTTTAAAGTTGTTTTTATCTTAGAGCACTACACTTATTTGGACACATCCAATCTAAAAGAAAAAGCCGCAGCATAATCGTCATCGTCATATTGCGAATACCCTGAAACCAACAGCATTGTTCGTGTAGATGCGCGCGCTTTAAAATACAAGATGCACGTACGCATGTGCCACGCATTCTGTTAATTTATTTCAACGCTACAGACATCTACTGCGTTGTCCAGTATGATGGCAAATTGCGCAGGTAGATGTAGAGTGGTTAACGAGCGCGAGCACGGAGGTCGTTTTGCATCACTCCAAATCTTTCTGCGAAAGTCACCACGAGACGGTAGATTCGCTATCCCGATTTAGCATCGTCATGAGAAGCCGCCGCTCCGACAACACCACTTCGGCTCATCAGCGTGCAGAGGGCAACCGTCACAATGGCCACCACCACGACGATGAGGACGCCGCCCAGCAGCAGTCCACTCGTGGACTTTTCGTCTTGGCCCTTGAGTTCAACTGGAGGTGTGGAGGGTGTGTATGGTGCGGGCGTTGCAGGTGCTACGGTGCGAGGTAAGGCCGTAGTGCGGACGGCTGGTGGCGGGTGCACTTCGGTGTGGTCGACAACGGAACCCCCCGACGAGGTGTCCCAGTCCAGTTGGACAATGTTGGAAACTGCTGAGACTTGTCCGCGAGAATTGTTCGTGCGTAGTGCCAGAAAGATGCTACCTGGCGTACCACCCGTCCGGGAGACGAGGTCTTGAGGAATCCCGACCCGGACCGACTGAATCCTACGGCGGTGAAGAACACGAGAGCCACGAGTGAAAAATAATACTCTTTGACGCCACTTGCTGAAAACTTTGTATGCCTGAAACTGCCCACTAGTAGTCCGTGTTGTAATTTTGCGCTATGCTACGGGGCGAAAACTAGTGGCAGATGGAGGCAGCAGCTGATCGTGTGACCTTTAGAAACTGCGCTGTTTCACCGATCATGACTTGTCACCATGCTCAGCGCCACAGCGTCAACTGTTTTTAAGGTCTAAGCATATCTTTAACTTGGTCATTAGTCTGATACCCGCCGTAGGTTGCAGCGATTGACCCACCCAACTGCTTCCAGGCTTCTTAGAGATTGAGCTCGAGAGTAAAGAAAGCGAAAATACCGAAGCGCTGTCGCATTCTGAAATTGCATTCATGAGATGTAAAAATAAAAATAAAAAAAGCCTGCGCGTTTACGTTCCCGAAGTACAGGCAGATATCCAATCCCTGTAAACTACAGAATATTCAAGGCGAATGACTCAGCCCGGAATACGACTATATCTCGAAAGTGCATAGAGTGCTGCAGATAATGGGCGTGATGTTTCACCTGCACACTGTCCTTCGCACATTGCATATTTTCAGGTCTACTCCTACTCTCAATTTTGTGACTCGAAGGGATCACTCCCTGGTTGTCAGTGCAAAGATTTTTTTTTTTTTTTTTTTTTTTGTAATTTTGCATTAGAGACACACGTCAGATCGTGCAATGATGTCCCGGATCATGTTTTATTTCTTAATATTTATGTAAAACATATATGTTAAAGTCATGTTCTTGGTTAGGAGACAACACACGAAAACACAGATATAAGACTAAGCTAGGGACATTATGACTTTCTATTCGCAACTCCATCCCGCCTCTCGCCCTCTCGTGGATGAACGAAGAACCAGAGGAGCGGGGATGGCGGCGGAGACGGTGGCAGGGACTACCGGCTTTGGTGCGGCTGTTATCCTATGGTTCTTGTCGGCGTGTTCGTGTGCACCATGCAGAATCAACGAAAAAAGCGAGTGCGTTCAAATAGGAATTGTTGTTTTCCGCTTCGCAACTTTTATAAATCAACACGCTCGTTTTGTTAACTTACGTCAACATCTCCGTCACCTGTTATCTGTTCCTGTCCTGACCGCTTCGTATTCAAATCAAAACAAATTCATCTTAGCGCACTGACCAGCGTCAGCGAGCAGGCGCACGGGAAATCCCGGATGACCGATCCCCGTCTCTTCCGCCATCTTGGCACTACTGCCCCGACGTTGCTGTTGCGATTACCCTACGATCATGGCCTCCCAGATCCGACGCACACGTTCGCTTGCTTCGGGACCTCGGAGGCCATGCCACGATCGAGCAGCAGTGCTGTACAGCTTTTGTCGGTTGTAAGATACAGTAGGTCTCCCTTGGAGCCGACAACGTGCGGCAAAGCCCCTATAACGAAGACAATTAAGCTAGCTCTATTTGAATGAAGGTGTGTTGGCGTTTCTCCCTTAAGGAGCTCATAGGTTACTCAATGTTTTGCTATCGCAAGTTAATTCTAGTCACTGTAAACGGTTAAGGAGAATATAAAAAAAAAGAATAAAAAGTTGAGTTTCTTTTTAAATTTTGACGTGCAATATTGGTACAATAAGACAAATGAGCAGCGCTTCTACACTACAATAACGGCTAAGTATATTTTAACATACAATAACTACAATAACGGCTGAGCATATTTTCCCTATCTTTTCGTAAAAGGGATTTAAATATGATATTTTTATGTATTTTGCATCGTTGTATACGAAGTAGTTTGTTGATAAATAATTTGTGAATCCGTCTCTAAAACGTGTTTTGTTTAACGTGTTTCGTAAATTTATTTGTTGCGTAAAACACTTTTTTAGTATATTTCAATATTCTGCGTACTTGTCGTGAATCTTTCATAAGACAAACAGAAAAAAACCTATTACATACTACGTGCATGCTTGGGTGCAAAATTGAAGGCTGCGCAAAGTATCATGGAGAAACCTTGGCAATCTCCACGCCTCAAGCTCCGAAATTTTAAATGTCCAGGAGAACATTAGCTACGGCGTAGTCACATAGCGCAATGAATAATAATAAAAAACCAAGAACATGAAGTTAACATATATTTTTTATAAAGATATTGAAAAAAAAAATGAAAAAAGATGACCCGGACCATCATTTCACGATCTACGAGGAAAAACACACTACAATCACCGAAAGCATGAGAAACACAGGGAATAATAATAATTATTATTATTATTATTCATTTTATTATTGTTATCAGGCCGTTTTGATTTGTAATTGGATATGAGTCCTAGCCGAACGCCGACGCAGCCTTCGTGTCCAATACATGCTCAGACCACGTGATCAAGCAATGGCAGACAGATAGGCGGCGGTGCGGATTTTGAAAAAGGGCCTATCGGTTGCACAAAAGTAGCATTGCGAAACCGAGTAATGACAAAGAACAATGCTAAACTTCGTTTCACCTGAAGTCCATACGCGGCCGACGGTACGAGCTAATTGGAGCAATCAGAAAGCGTCAAAAGTGCACCGTCATGGTGTTTGCCATGTTCATGTACGTGCTCTATCATCGCTGACCGAATCATAAACAGAAAAAGCCCAGTGACTTGCACTTTCGAAGCTCTTTGGTTGGTTCCACTGCGGTGGCGCTGCTGTCGGTATACTGCGCATGCGCAATAAACGCTTCCCTCCTCCCGAATTTGGTTTCTGCAGACGCACAGTGGCCGCACCTGGTGTGGGCGAAGAGTGCTCGGTTGGAAACACTGTGTTGGTGTATACACGACCAGCGTAAGACCTTTGCGTACTTACTTTAAGGGATCCAAAGGGACCAGGGTTCCCTCCAAGAGGTTCTCCGTCGATATCTCTGTCGCTTTCTCGAATTTGCGCAGCAACACGCGTGGATCCGTGCTTGCTCTCAAATCGGTGTGATTGGCTGCGAGACAGACGTGCTCATTCAATACTTTGTGCAGAGACGATGTGGTGGACTTTTGTGAGGAGTGCGTGCGCAAAACCAGACGAAATGAATCGTTGAAGGTTCGACCCGTCGACTTTTTCTTGACTAAAAAGCAGCTAATGTCGCCTGGTCGTTCACGTTGACCCATGCAGCTCCGCAAATAATCGGTATTCTCTAGAGTTTGTTTTCGTGATCGGCTACTAATGTCTGGGTTTTGAACGAAACATCGAGTATACTTAAAATAATCAAACACGGGACAATGTTTCTAAGGATGTAAACAGTTTTGCGAACCTTTGAAATTTTTAAAAGGCGTAGATTCCAGCGGGAAAATTTATTGCCAATCGGAATAATGTGAATCTTGTCGCATTAACATGCTCGAGCCAGCATTGATCAATAAGAGATAGTGATGAGTTCTTACTCACCTAAAGATATTAATAAAATATTTGAATGAATATCTCGCGTATGGTTCGTTTCATTTGTAAGGTCAAATGGAAATCCAAGATTCCTATACCGTAACTAATTTCTAACATCGTGGTGCAAATAAGACATACTCAAAAGTTATACTGATACAAAGAATTGTGGTCACGAAGCGTTTGCGAAACGAAACACGCTATTATTAGCATTCTTTTTACATGTGTTATCAGTATATGAAAGTATTGAAAGTGGACGTTCACCATTCTTTTAGAAAACTTGAGACTGGGTGAAGATACGTGAGGCAATTAAAAGTGAAAGAACCAGGGAAAGAACAACAGAACGCAGGGTCCGAAACCTAGCTTAAGATGGGCTTGAGACGTGGCCTTCGGTCGTTCTTTCCCTGTTTCTTCTTTACCTTTGATTGCTTCGTGTATTTTCATCCAGTCGTAAGTCTACTTTCTTAGAACCTCCGCTTACCACGCCCACTGTCCAGATGGGCACCCATGCACGTCCACGATAGTGTGGCAGTGATATTTTTGCCATCTACTGTCACGTTGTCCACTCTCAAGTCCCGAACGTCGGCAGGGTTCAGGTCTTCTCGTGTGATGTGTCGCAGTATGTTGACGGCGCCGGCATACACCACCATGTTAATCTCCGCTCTCTCAGGTTGCTCCTGGAACGAGACCGTCGTGGTTCACCAAATAGCGACCGTCCCGTAATCTTGGCCACAAAGGCTTCAAAACGATCGAAAGCTGGATGAATGGCGAGACATCTCAACAGAAGTCAGAAGTCAATCATGAGGTCGACTCAAATGTATACCCCCGCGTCACATTCCAATCTCATCTTTGGGCAATTGGAACTGTCCTCCACAAGCGATATCAGTTGCGAAACGTGGTACAGCTGGAGGGCCAGGTTGGACATTTACATGTACATTTTAGACGGTCACGGAAGTGACGTACTAGCGTCTGATAGTTTGAGGCAATTGCCTCCACCAATCAGACGCCAATACGTCACTTCCGTGACCTTATAAAACCTATCCGTGAATGTCCAACCTCGGTGCCCTGAAGCATAAATGTTAGTAGAATTGGTTTATTAGGCAGATTTTTCTTTACGTGTCTGCGACCAGTGTTTGTTGGTACATAGTCACTACTGACAGCTCAAAGTACCCAGGACGTGGCTTATTAAGTTAATGATTCTTGCTTCGTGATTGCTTCTTCGGCGCTCTGATCGGCTAATGCCGCAATCTCATTGGCTGACGAGCGACAATGAGATGCTCGGTACTCGCTATACCGCGCGTTTCTTGAAGAATAACTCCGATCGAAAACGAAACCAAAATGAATGAGTGGTATCGTTTTCGTGGCACGAAATATGATCACAGCCGAAATATTACGTCAAAGCGAAGCCGCGTACTCCCCCCAAAACCAATTTTAAAGATGCGACCGGCTGCTTGTAGCGGGTGCCAAGCGGGTTAGCTTTCAGTTAGGCAACACTGGGCGATGCGCACCGCAGTGCCACGGTGACGTCACGTCGCGGCCGTACAGCTGATGATCAGTGTCGCCATCCCGCTCTATGAGACAGCTTCGATTATTTCCGTGGACGAACGAAACTTTTGAGCCGTTATATTTATAAAAACTACACGGAATGTTGAGAGAAAAAATATATATACCTTTTAGTTCAGGGAAACTGACTGAGCTGAAAACAGTCGTAGTTCCAAATTCAAAGGTATTGATTGAAACTGTCGGTAGCTAGAGTAGCTCCAGTTGAATTTGTTTTTATAGCTGTCATGTTGAGACGTACCACATACCGCAGTTCTGCCATGTTATTGTGGATCATCTTTATTGGGAGGATCCGCAGAATTATTGCGCAAAACTAAACTATTGCAGCCAAGTTACCTTAAAGGATAACTCCGGTCAATATCGGCGAATTTGTGATTACGACTGATTTCACCAATCAGTGACCCTGAATCACAAGGTATATTTTTTTCCCCTTCGATATTGTGTGCAGTTTTATACATATCCCGACTCAAAGTTTCGTTTCGGGCGTCTACGACTAAACCGAAACCATCTGCAAGAGAAGGATAGCAACACTGATATCAGCTCTGCAGCCGCGACGTGACGTCACGCTGGTGCTCCGGTACGCGTCGCCCAGTGTTATTAGACTAAAAGCTAACCGGCTCGCCACGTGCTAAGGAGCAGCGGGTCGCATCTTTCAAATCGGTTTTAGTGGAGCATGCGGCTTCGCTTTGACGTAATTTTCCGACTCTGATCCTATTTCGTGCCGCTGAAGCGATGTACCTGTCATTTACTTTGGTTTCGTTTTCCACCGGAGTTGCCCTTCAATAAAAGTCGAGAGCCTTATTTCTATTGCTTCGCTTAGCAATAACACCCCAGATACAAAGCGACAAACCGATAAGATAAAAAGCGTAAAACAATAGACGTTTCTGCCGTTTTTTTTTGGTCTTGTTTATAGTCGGCGACAGGTGAAAAATGTCAGAGAGGTTTTGCTGTTATCATTCGTTGCTCTTCTGTTGTTAAATGGCTGCGCATGCTGCAAGAAACACCGCGTAGAGCTTTAGAAGTTAGAAAACTCGCACAGAAGGCGGAACTTGTACTGCATTTTGAGATATTGATGCCTTCAAGCTTTAACGTTTGACATCTGTCGGTGGAAACTGTCATTCAAGGTCGTTTTGTTGCGACCTGAACGGGTGAACTTACCGCAGAGATTTCCTGAGCCGCTTGCCCGGGTTCCTCACCTGCAAGTTCGATTGCTCACTTCTGACACTGTTCAGACTCATTCGACGATTTACACATCTTTTCGTACAGAAAATAAATAAATAAAAAGATAACTAATATTATCTGGAAATAACTACGAGGATATGCATGCCATCATAATTTTTTGCCCTTCTCTCTATTTTTTTTTTGTTTATCAATTAAGTTACTTTTTCGTTACCGACAGCTTGTACGCTTACAGTAGGAGCACTTCACGATAATATTCTGGGCACCGCCATTTTGGTGCCTATTGTAAAGCGGGCACCATGTGCGATATATGAGATGCGAAAATTCGACTTTGTGGGCTATGGATAAGGAGTCAAGAAACTCAAAAAATAATTTTTTTAATAATTAATATGTTTTAAACGCTACCTCCTAATCCCAAAGTTTTGTCCGTCCCTCCGTCCGTGTACTTTTCCTAAATTTCGCGAGGAAAGTGGCGACACGTGGCAATAGATTAACTCAGTTTCCCGGCTAACATTTTCCCGAAAATTAACGTATGGTGGCCCAAAGATCAATTCAGTTCCCCCCTAAATTTAGCGGAAAACTGATGTCACGTGACGCATACATTAATTCAGTTACCCACAAAATTCAGCGGGAAAATTCACGTCTCCTGACCTAGACAGCTATCTAATTTCCCCGCTAGATTTAGCGGGAGAAGTCGCGTCACGTGCACGTGGCCTGAAGTCACGTGACCCATACCACCATTCAGTTCCCCCGCTAAATTTAGCGGGAAAATAGATATTACTTGATGCAGCAAGTCTCTCACCCGCCAGCCCTTCCTCCCTTCTCATTTTTTCTCCCCTTCCCCTTCCTTGATAACCTTGGGTGTAAAAGTACTTGTTGCTGGGCTAGTTGGTGATGACTGTTTTGAACCAGAGAAAAGACAAACAGCGCTGTGTTTGTCTTCTCTCTTGTGTTCGTCTCTCTAGCGCTTTAAACCATGAATCAAAACAACCCTCTGTGATGTGGCTCCCAGGGTGCTTCATAGCATTTCATCCATTAACATTAAAAGTAAAAGTCGTTGCCAATTGTTGTTGTTTTTTTTTTCACAAATTTTTATAACATTTTTAGAGGACGAAAAAGCGTTTCCAGCACTTCCAGGTAGAAATCCAGGTAAATGGCAGCAGTGATTTTAAGCACCGATATGGCTGAAACATAAGAAATGTCATGCGTTTTTTTCCGTGACTATAGTGACTCTAGGCGAAATATCAAGGCCTGTTCAGTTTCACAGTGGGCACTTCCAACACCACCTAGAATAATCAAGGACTCCGAACATCCTCCTCTTCTATCGGACGTCATCACACTAAAATGGCGCCAATTCAGCAATCGGACTAAAGCCGGATGCTGAGCGTCCTTCAGCAAGTTGATCGAACAAGAGACCCAGCTGAACACTGACGCAGCACCGGTGGCCAATCTGTGTCCGCACTCTATCTCACTGCGATGACGTCAAAATTCTAGCGCTCACGCTTTGGTTACTTATCCTAGGTGGCGTTGACTCTGCCGCCTGGAGTGACGTCAGAAACGGGAGGCGGTGTACGGATAGGACCGCCGTTCGCTTACAAGTGTTCCTCACACGCAGACACACAAGACATCGTCATCGACACTATTAACGTACCGAGCTCAAGCAGGCCGGCGCGAAGTCTGCCAGGCTTGGCTGTAGATCTCGGGAGGGTCAGCAGCGTGTCCTCCTTCGTCGTGACGTCGGTCCTGACGCTGTACCGTCCTTGGCCGACGAGGTGCGAAAAGTAAGCCGAGTACTCGCCGTCGTTTCTCGTCTCGTCGGCTCCTGCGACAGAAAGAAAAAAGAAATGGGTTAAAGATACGCCCCATTCGTCCGCGATCAGGACCGCTTCAATGCTGAACTCACACTTTTCGGGTACGGTAGGCGCAGAATTAGAGACTATGTACACCAAGGCGAGGCCCTGACCTCATGCCGCTACGGTGGTGTTGCTGTCGCACGCCGCATGCGCAGACGCTTCGCTCGAAGCGAATATGGTTTCTGCACAAGCGCAGTGGCCCCACCTGGTGTGGGCAAACGACGACTTGTTTGTAAACAGCGTGTGTGTCCATAGACGTTTGCCAGTGCGGCCTCAGGGCGTTGCTGGTATGGGTAGATCGTCTGATAGTCAAGCATTGTCGTTGCCATGGGTACGCCTCAACAATGCCTGACTATCAAACGATCTACCCATACCAGCAGCAAGATGGCGGCGCCTTGCACTGTACGTCATATCATCCATTTCGCACCAGCACGGAACAGAGAGAGAGGGGAAATCTGTTTTCGTACGCATTTCGCGTTACGCTTAATCTTCTATAATCCTCTAAAGGGAGAATAGCGACGTCTTGGCAAGTCTGGGACACAAAGCACGTGTCTGAATGCGAAAGCATTCGTATACGTAGCGTATTCCTCCATGCTGCGCGCCGCGCCCGGCCGGTGACCTGTGCGGATGCCGCCCGTGTGGGCTCTGCGGCCGGCCGCTCTGCAGAGCCCGGCTACCTTCTCCCTCTTACCGGCGGCCGGGCCGCTGGGAGAGGTAAACTCTCTGTATGGCCCGTGTGGGATCAAAATGTGTTAGTGTGTGGACTGGACTTAGTGCCCGCTGCCGAGAGGCTCCTCGGTGACATCATGCTGGTAGTCGGGGACCGCCAGCTCCCGTTCCGTGGACATGCCAAAGCCTCGGGTGACGTTTGCAAGGGGGTCATCAACATTGACCCCAACGATACATCAGTCTCCCTCAAACAAAAACTCAGATGGAAGCACGGCGAAATTCTCTCCGTGAGGAAACTGGGCAACACCGACGTCGCAGTGGTCACCTTCGAGGGAAAAACGGTGCCCCGTCAAATCTACTGCAGCGATCAGGGCATCCCCGTGAGACTGTACAAGAAGACGATCCCCGCTTGTCACCGCTGTGGGACGGTGGGGCACCGGGCTGACATCTGCCCGCGGCCGCAGGCGGGACGGTGCGGCCGCTGTGGCTCTCAAGTAGCTCCCACTTCCGAGGGCCTTGCTGAACACGACTGCACCCCTTGTTGCCTCCTCTGCGGGGGCAATCACCTCACCGGCGCTGCCGGCTGTACCAGCAAGTACCGGAAGCCGATCAAGCCGGGGACTCCACCGACCAACGCCAGGCGGAAGTCAGCTCTCAAGCAAGCTCCGACCACCAAGGGCAACACCAGGACATCTACCTCTACGCAGGAACAGCCCGGACAACGCACGAGAGGCGCCAAGTCCGGGAACAGGACAAATGCGCCACCTTCAACGCGGGGGATTTCCCACCCTTAGAAAGCGCCTAAACAAAGGTGAGCGGTTGGGTTGGGGCTGTCCGTGGGCCTCTCTCCCCCTCCCAAACCGAAGTCGCCCTACAGAGGCAAAACGCTGAACTCCGGCGCCAAACCGAAATTCTAGCTAACAAAATTCAAGAGCTAGAGGCAAAATTGGCCAGGCTGACGGAGCCCCAGGCACAGGCCGGGTCTTCGGAGCCCATGCAGCAAGCTGAGCCGGCGGACCACGATGACAGGGCCTCGGCCGCGTCAGGACCGTCTAGCGTCTCGCAGTGCTCGGGCCGCACACCTGTGGGGCACATGCCCCTCATTGATCACCGTCTGGAAAATTTGGAACGCACAATTGCGGACATGCCAGGCAAAATTTTGGAAAGCGTCAGAGCTTCCTTCAAGGAACTCTGGAAACTGGAGCGCCCACATATGGTGCAGAGCATAATCCCAGCAGTGACAGACTCTGTCCTATCCACAGTACAGAGACGGGCCAGCGTCCAAGTTGAGAATAGCCGCTCTCGCTCGCGTTCCCCGTGACCGGATTCGCGTAGGCGAAAGGTGTTCCCTCGTCAGACCACAGGCTCTTTAGAACACAACCCGGCTGCACCCTCCCCGGAGACGCTGTTGCATCGCCCGAGGCGCCATCGTCTTCGGAGATTAAGCGTGCCCGCCAAAATTAAAAAAAAAAAAAGAACACCATTCACTATGGCTAGCCGACCCCATCGGAAAGCTCGTAACGACGCTACAGTGGAGAAATTCGAGATCATACAGTGGAACTGTAGGGGCTTTCGGAGCTGGAAGAAACGGTCGCACCTCCAGCTCTACCTGCAGACTCTCGGTACCGCGCCGGCGGTCCTGGCTTTACAGGAACCTGGCGCGGAAGCTAAATTTTCTGGGTACAGCACGTTCCAGGGTGGTGCTACGACGTGCCTTCTTGTGAAAAACGCATATACCGCAGTCTCCGTCGATTTAGACTTGGCGACTGACCAGGAATACAGTATGGTGAGGGTCCTGCCACTAAAGCGACGTGACCCGTCAATACATATTCTCAACATTTACTGCCCCTCGCATAAGCCAAGCGTAACTTCCCACGAAATTTTCTACCGCGCACTGAAATCGGCTGACAAGGAACCTCTAGTGATTGTTGGGGACTTAAGTGCTCCCAGCCTGCATTGGGGATACCACTTTGAGAAGGCCAGAGGCCGCAAGCTGGCGGAGCTAATTTCCACACTTCGCCTTACGCTGCTCACGGATCCGGCATGTCCAACACGCATGGGCAATTCGGTAACTCGCGACACGTGCCCTGACCTGTCCCTCGTTAAGAACGCTAAAGATGCCGCCTGGGAGAACCTGGGGGACACTCTCGGTAGCGATCAATGCCTTCTCCGGATCACTCTTCTGGCGAAGGCGGCTCGCAAAAAGTGGGGCCATGCCAAATTGACAAATTTGCCTAAGTTTAGGACGCAGGAGATACCTCCAGTGCTTTTTTCTGGCGGCTATGCGGAGTGGGCAAAGCAATTGGACACAATACAGCAACAACTCGTTACGACACTTCAGACTACAGAAGCGTTCCCCGCCGTTGACAATCACCTCCTGCACCTGTGGGAGGCACGCCGGAGTCTTACCAAAAGGTGGAAGAAGCAAAAGCTAAATCGCAAGCTTAAGGCTCGCATTAACGAACTCACGGAGCAGGCTGCAGCGTATGCTGCCCAGCTCACTGACTCGAATTGGACAGAAAAGTGTAATTCGGCAGCGCGTCAGATGAGCTGGAGAGGGACGTGGCGCCTCTTTCGCAGCCTCACTGACCCCACTCAGACGAGAGGGGAGACGCAACGACAGCTCCGGCGGGCTTTGCACGGGTACCAAGGCACGACAGCTCAACTCGCAGACACCCTGTGTGACAGGTATCTTTCTCGCATAGAGGACCCGATGGGGCCCGAGTACGAATATGCGGGAAGGCCTAATCCAGACGTTAATCCCCCTTTTACGTTGCACGACCTTAGGGCGGCTTTAGCTCAGATGCGCAGAGGTACGGCTCCCGGCCGTGATCGCATAACAGTAACACTACTTACGAATCTTCTGGACTCGGCTTACCTCCACTTGCTAAAGTACATTAATCAGATCTGGGATGGGCGTTTACTCCCTCCCGACTGGAAGACCTCCCTGGTCACATTCATTCCTAAGCCAGGCAAGAAGGTAAATACAGACAACCTGAGGCCCATCTCACTGACCTCATGTGCGGGGAAACTTGTGGAGACGATGGTCCGGGATCGCCTTTCGCCGTACATGGAGGCTAAGGGCCTCTTTGCAGACAGTATGTTTGGGTTCCGCCCGCATATGTCTGCACAGGACGTTCTCCTCCAAATACACCGCGACATAATACAACCCACTGCCATGCGCCACAACGATAAGGTCATCCTTGCCCTCGATCTTAAGGGGGCCTTTGACAACGTTCGCCATGGCAGCATTCTGGCAAACCTGAGCACCACGGATTGTGGACACAAGGCCTTCGCCTACGTAAGAGACTTTCTCTCGAAGCGCCAGGCCCTGCTTAAGATCGAGGACGATGAATACGGCCCATACACCATGGGCACACGGGGCACTACCCAAGGAGCGGTCTTCTCGCCGCTCCTTTTCAATATTGCCATGATGCGGCTTCCACATTTATTGGCCCAGTTGGAAGGCATCCAACACTCACTTTACGCGGATGATATAACAATGGACCTTTTCCACCTACGGACGGCACCAGGCGGTGGCTGCACGAACTAAAAATCGAGGAAGTGACCTACCTGCGCTACCAATTGATAATGGGAGCTACGCTACCAGTTTCTTCGCTCTCTGAGCAGCGGCGCCAGCCCAACGCTACTTTAAAGATGGGCATCCGTGGCGTCCACCCAAACGTCGTGTTTTCCTTTCCGTCGGCGTTCTTTTTTTGTGTAACACAATTATATATATGCTGCAGTTACGTCTTCTACTCGCTGATATACAGCCTCCTTCCGAATTTCCTCGATTTTTCGCTCCGACTTCCGCCGCTTGGCATCGGGCGCTCGCGCGTGCGCAGAACGCTTCTCGGAAAAGGTCCATTTGGACCACCGAAGGGAGCCTTGGGGAAATGGAGGACCGCCTTCAGCGGGCTGCTTCCATCGTCGATAGCTATGCTATCGGCTGTGGTCTTCAATGCGCTCCTGCAAAATCGGAACTTCTACAGGTCAGAGCCAATCAGAACGACAACACGAGTTTACGTATCTCCTTCACGGGAGGTTCTATCAGAGAAGTCGAGGAGATCCGGATCCTGGGCCTGTTTATTCATAACAGGCTCAGACCGGAAACCACTATTTCCAAACTCAAACGTGTTGGCGAACAGGTCGGACGTATGATCCACCGCGTTTCTAACAAACGCGGGGGGTTACGGGGCGGGGACGCGCTTCGGCTCGTCCATGCCTTCGTAACCAGCAGGATCCTCAACTCCGTGCGCTATCTTCGCACTACGAAGCAACACGACGAACGCAGCATCGACGCCATTATTTGGAAGGCTACTGAGCGAGCTCTAGACCTCCCGGTGACTACATCCAACGCTAAGTTGTTGGCGCTGGGGGTGCTCAACACCTACCAGGAGCTGAAAGAGGCCCACCTCGTGAACCAATACACGCGACTCTCGCAAACGGTTTCCGGGCACCGCCTGCTAGACCGCTTGCACATCCAACACGAATGCATTCCAGAGGAGACATGCAGGCTTCCGGAAGTGTAGCGTCACAAGCTTTGGGTTTCTCCACTCCCGCGCAACATGGGTACGCCGACACACGAAGGCAGACGAGAGGCGCGCGTTCGGGCTCTCGAACACCAATACGGATCTAAGCAGGGCGTGTACCACGTTGATGTGGCAGGGCCGTCGCCCACTGGTTTCTATACGGCCGCCGTAGTTCACCAGGACAGACGCGTCGACGGACTCTCCTATAGAGCTTTCAACTCCGCGCAGGCCAAGGAGGTAGCTATAGCGCTTGCCGCCTCGGCCCCGAATTCGAAGATAATCATCACAGATTCGCGCAGAGCCTGTGAGCACTACCTGGCGGGCGTGGTTTCACCTTTAGCCTACCGCACTTTAAAGCGAGCCGTGATGGTTTCGGAACCCTCACCTAAACGCATCGTTTGGACTCCGGGCCACCAGGGCCTTCGAGGTAACGAGGCTGCGGACGCGGCCGCCCGAGCGCTTTCCCACCGGGTACCTCATCCAGGCTCTTCCGGCTCAGAGATTAGACAACCGCTTCTGCGGTTCAAGGAAATCCTGGCAGACTATTGCGAACGCCATCGGCTTTACCCGGCCCCAGCCAAGGGCCTGAGTAGGGCCGATGAACGAACGTTGAGGCGCCTGCAGACCAACACCCTGTTGGGTCCTGCAATAGCAAAACATTTTGACTCCAAAGTTGATGGGCGATGCCCTCACTGTGGGGAAGTTTCCGATAACTTTCACATGGTGCGGGCATGTCAGATGAACCCTTCCCTTCACCCTTATCCTTCCCCCACTAGAGAGGAATGGGAGGCAGCCCTACTCAACTGCTCGGGGCTCGAGTCTCAAAGGGCTCTAGTCCAACGGGCGCGGGTAGCGGCTTTGTCCAGCGGGGTCTCGGACTAAGGGCTCCACCTATGTAAAGGGTCATTTTGGCCTGCAAACTCACCATTTATAAAATAAAAGTTTTTCACCATTACCACCACCGGGCCGCTGCGGGTTGGCAATTCTTGGAACTGTGACGCACGCCTTCCAATAGACGTCTATCCAACACTTTGCTGCTACAGACTGCGGGCTTCGCTCTATCGGACAGGGGCGTTTAGGTGCCGTTTGGTGCGTCTTCAAAAGCTGATGACGCCGGCTTCGCATTAAAGGAGAATCCAAAGGAATGGAACGTTCCATCCTTCCCCTTTTCCCTGGTGGTGGCCGAAGAGCTGATGGGATGACGACAGGTGTAAGGTATGTATTGTATTCAATCTTGTCTTACGATTTGTTCTTCGACGTTCCGACCGGCTAATGCCTCCATTTCACTGACTGTGAAGCGATAACAAGATTACCGGTATTCGCCACGTCCGGCGTTTTTGGCCTGTCAGTGGCTATCGATAAACTTACCATTTCAGCCAGGTTACAAGGAAAGGAGATCTATTTGAACGAGCGATTGAATCACATATCGCTTAAACCTGGCATAATTTAAAGGAGCTGTGCAACAATTTCAGGGCTTTGCTTAAATAATTGTGGAAGTTGATGCCTGACACTTCTGGAGTGAACTACAGAAAACAGATTTTGCCTAAAAACCCTAGTTTATATTTTTTTTTTAAATGAAAAAGATCCAGGTTTTTGCCGCCTCTCAACTCGTACGCCGTCTTCCGGGTCACGTGCGCAGTGACGTTGATGGGGTAGGCGCGGAGTTCCGGTAAAGTTCTCTCTTTAGAGCCATTAGTGAGCAGCGAGAATTCATCTGCTCTCGACCGCGTGACCACGTGTTGGCGGGCGCCGCGCGAACAATATGTTGAAAGGAGGAAAGTCTCATCCGGGTACGGCCATACCCGTCCGGCCCTGTCCCCCTTCCCCTCCGGCTTCTGGCGGCTGTTCACGGTAGCAGATAGAGCTGACGGTTTTGTGGACCTAGGATAGATGGCGCCACTAAAACTCCGTATATTAATTAAAAGTTTTGTCGATGATACCAGGCTTTTGACGTATCTTAATATATATATATGTTGGAACGACAAGATTTATAGAAAAGTTACCTTTTATCGAGCAGGTATTCGCACAACTTGCTATCTTTCTACAAGATTCCCCATTGACGTCATGTCGCGTGTTTCTCATGGCCGCCGCTCGCGGCTGCAGGTCGGGGAATATTCTAAGTTTTGCCTCGCTATTACGCGGCGGAACTCAACATTTCGATTAAAGTAGGTGTGCATTCTGTCATTTGTGACAAAATTAACAATATCAAAAACAGAAGATGCCAATTCTTTCAACGTTAAAATCATTGCACAGCTCCTTCAATAAGAGCCATGTCCTCTCTTAGAATAGTGGAGTAAGTTTCATGAAGAGGCATTGCCCCTTGAGCTAAGCACCATATGGCAAATCTTTGGCTGCCATTCTAAAGCCCTCGAGGGATCCTTCATAGGCCATCCCACCAAGAGGCCTTCTGCAAAACGTGCAGCGCCGTCCACGACACCTAAAAAAATGCCGGAACCTCATGGGTACGACTGGTTGCACCAGACGGCAGAGACGACCATGGAGGCGACGGCAAGCGGGCAACGACAGGCGGGCGACTGCGCTACCTTCTCGCTCTCTTCAGTGTCACGTGGGGCCGGCAACGAGGCGCGTACAGGAATTCACGCGCGGCCTTCTGGGATTTTTTTTTAAAGGCCTATTTTTAAGTTTTAACAAGGTTAAGTAAGGCGTTACACCGTGGTTGAGGCGTACCAAGCCCGTTGTCCTTGAGGTGGAGGAAGGTCGTCCCGTTCAATCCTGGCAGTGTAACGGTGGCGATGACGACCGCCCTCAGGACACCACGGTCTCCTTTGAAAACCCTGCTGTAGATTGTGACCTGGTTTTTACTTTTGTCTTCCTTAACGAAGCTCTGGGCTCTGATTGGATGGTCCTTGGGATTTCGCTGCGTCGACTGCACTGTAACAGTGACGTTGGAGGCGGTACCCGCCTGTGGTATCAAAACCAGTGTCCAGAGGGTTGTCTGGAACGGGATGACACAATATAAGTGTTTGTTTCTGTTGATTATTTTTTTCTTATAGGGAGATTAGCACTTTTCTGTATTGAAAGGAAATTTTCCGTTTCGCATTAAGTCCGACCTCAGTCAACGCTACAAGCGTATGGAGCCAATCAATCACTACTCGTGGTTGGTTTAACCGGTGACGACGAGCGCCAAAATTACAATGTAATTTTGGCGCTGCTTGGTTATGTCTGTCTGATCGTAGCTTCGACGTTTTTTCGTTTCCTTTTGTTTTCAGTCATGTGGGTTCGACCATAGCCTCCTCTATACGGCGAAAGCCTGGCACATCGACGACGGAGCCATTGGGCGCGCGGCCGCAGGAAAAAGGAGAGGAGGAGCGCGCCGAACGGTGACCAATATGGTAGCGCAGAGCAGAAAGGGCAGACCTAGACAGCGAGCGCTTGGGTCATGAGCGGCCGCTCCCCGAACCACGCTTGTTTTTGTGTTTTCCTCACCGTCGTTTTCGTACTCCGGGAAAAACGGGCGCGGCGATTCGAAAGGGCGCAGGGAGAAACGGGAAAGGGTGGACGTTGAGTTTCTCCTCTCCACGACAGCGACAAGAAAAGAGAGAGAAAAAAAAATATTGTTTCTGCGTTTGGCCGCTCGCTCTTTTGTGGCGCTAGCAGGCAAGGTTCTCTCCGCTCCCGTTTCTCCGCCCCTCCTTTCCCATTTACGGCGGCCGCCTTTTCTCGCGACGCGCCAGGCTTTCTCCGTATAGAGGAGGCTATGGTTCGACATCTGGTATGCGGGCCAAAAAAGAAAAAAAAAATATATATATATAAAGACATTTCAAACTGGAATATGCGAGACAATATGGGTGAGGCAAAACGGGAATGTGCGACTATCACGCATTTTTCGTGAACCCCTTCAGCGGCGTGGAGATATCGATATGATGTTTTAACACATACACCAGAAGTGACGACGTTCAAGATTGCGGCGCCCATGTGGAAAATGTAGCTACACTTTTTGAAGCGCCGACGGCGTGGCGGTGCAAGTTTTAGGAAGCGAATGGTGGCGCACACCAGAAGATTGAACTGAATTGCGCAATTTTGGTCTAACGGAATGCGCTTCGTCATTCCTATTGGTTGTGGTTACTTGCAAAAGAAGAGTGTCGAGGGACTTTAGTCGGTCCTAATGTTAAACCGAGTATGGCAGTAACGCTGCTACAGTTTCAAGCAGGGTAAATAGAATTCGGCAGAGGATACTCGAAACGGAGGCGAACCCTACCGCTTTGGTCTCCGGTATGTGGATTATCTCGAGCTGGTCTCCGATCTCTTTGTTGCAGTCAGTGCAGTTTTGACCGTTGGCGCCCGTCACATAAAAGTCGAACTTTTGTGCGGATAGCGATGTAATGGATATCTTGGTGTTAGCGCCGAGTTCTTTCGGGACCGTGAACGGGAATTCCTCGGCGGTCCTAAAAGACGCCGTCTTGTCCAGCAACTGGAAAAAAGAAAACGTCGAATCGTAATTCGAGCTGTGCTGTACTCTGTTTCATACTTAGTGTGCAACGTTGTCAAAGCAACTGGCGCGAGCATGGGGCTTGATCTCGTTCATCATTTGCACGCGTTCTCGCGCAAACAAAACCATAGATGAAGCCACGCGCTCGCGCCAGTAGCTTTGACAGCGAGCTGCGCTGCGAAGTTCTACAGAACAAACGCGTGACTAAAAAATTGAAAATGAAAAGGATGAGTTTACATTGAGATGAAGAGAAACACAACGAACACAACTCACGCATTGGGAAACTCATGCATTGAAAAGGAGGAAAAAGAAAAGAATAAACAGTTGTTAGTCTGCGCCCATTTGTGTTCGTTGTGTTTCTCTTCATCTCAATGTAAACTCATCCTTTTCATTTTCAATTTTTTAGTCACGCGTTTGTTCTGTAGAACTTCGCAGCGCAGCACGTCTATCAATGTACAACCAACTAGCCCAAACCCAAGTCCAAGCTTTGACAGCGTTGCACGCTAAGTATGAAACAGAGTCTAGAGAGCTTCCGTTCGTACTTTTGAAAAAAAATCGGAGGATTTTTTTGTTAGTGTATTTGTTTTTGAAATATATGTGTATTTCGGTGATTTGCTTCGGACGGACGCGAAAGAACGCTGATTAGGCTATCGCTGAAAAAAATCATGAAGAACTTAAACGTCGGGTCTATAAGGAAAGGGTTTAGGAGAAAAGAAAGAAACAGAAGAACAGCCATAGCAGAAGTAAAACGTTTCATAAACGGGTGTTTCTCAGTTTTAACCTATTTGATATTTTTGACACCGACGGGCGTTTATCGGTGTTTTTCAGTTAAAACCGGAAGGTCAACGGCCTAGGTATAAAAGAAACTGAAGCGTTATTTCGTCGAACAAGACCTGTACAAGTGGCACTATGCACACGTGAAAAGTTATTCCACCTGAATGAGGGTAAAGTTTTAACTTAACCCCGACATCTACCTTGACCTCCCCGAAGCAGATTAAGCTACGTTTATCCTAAGAGTAAGTTTGTGCATAGTAAATATTAGAAACATGTTCTTTAGATAGAGGTGAAAGAATTTTCCTAGATTCTCCTTCTACCATTTTCCAAAAGTAGTCTAGAACCTCGAATACATCACGCAGTAGTTACTGGAAAGTGCGCACTTTCGACAAAAAAAAAAAAAAGGCAATACGTGGCGCAAGTCACCGCTCCATTCAAAGGGAACAGCCTCCATGCCTCCGTCCATCCATTCACCTACTCATCCGTATATTCAATGTACACGCCAGGTGAAAGAGTATCGATAGCGAGGACAAGTTGATGTCGGTTCAACGTTTTGTCATTTGAGAACACAAAAAGGCAAGGATAAGAAAACAAAATATGCACCTATTGTCTTTTATTTTTTCCCCCTTTCGCTTCTTATAAATTTATTATTTTTGTGTTCTGAATATACAATATGAAAGATAATGGATCGTGCCACTATCAGGAAATAAGAAGAGTCCGAGCCGGCCTGAGGGCAGACTCGGAGCAGCTCAAGAATTATCTGCGCCACGCGGTGCAATGTGGGAAAGCGACGAGGCCTCCAGCCATTTTTGGAGGAAAACTACAGGAGCAAAACGCGGCCAATCTTAAACGCTGACATCGGCGGTCCCCAAGAGAAGAAACCAGAAAGAGAGCGACAGAAGAGCAGAAAAATATAAGACTGCTAACGCGTCGGAATGCGAAAGCGTTTGTATACGTAGCGAATTCCTCCAAGCTGCGCGCCGCGCTGAGCCCGACCAGGCAACCTGTGCGGACTCTTAAGGGGTGTCCAAACAGGACACTACAAAACGCACGCCTCCGACAAATCGTGAAAATTGAAGCGGACGCGCCCGCTTCAATTTTCACGATTTGTCGGAGTCGTGCGTTTTGTAGTGTCCTGTTTGGACACCCCTTTACCGGACGGGCTCTGCAGCTGGCCGTACCGCAGGGCCCGGCCACCCTCTCCATCTTACGGGCGGCCGGACCGCTGCGCCATGGCAGTGGGGTGGCGTTCCTTGGAACTATGCCGCGCGCCAGCCAATGGGAGTCTTTCCATCAATTCGATATCGGTGTTTTCCTGCAATGTAAGCTAGAAAAGAACAAGGTACAGACCTTACAGGTGACGTATCGCTGCTTCTTTGGGGATATTAATACGCCGCCAGCAATGTGGGTCCATCGGGACTACTAACGAAGACCTCCGATGTCCGCGTCTATACACCGCCGATCCGAAGCGGTCCGAATGCATGGGACCTTCCACTCTAGATTATTGTAGTAACTCTGTGACCAGAGTGATACGGAAGCATGCGTATGACAGCTCCCCCACACGATGAGTGCACTCCGAAGTTCCGTCCTCGCGTGACTCAGTGGCTCGTCGAGGCAGCACGTACGGGTGTTTGGCAAGATATGTTGGAGCGGAGTTATAAACGTTATAACTGACAAGACTATATGCTCCTACCTTATACATTCCGTCAAATGCAATTCATGTGTGATAGCACTTGGGGGGGCTTTTCACGGGAAATTTACGTCACCTGACCCGAGGTCACATTACGTGGTCACGTCGCATGACGTCAGAGTGTCACGTGACCCGACATCACAAGACGCCAGGTCACGTAACACTTATTTTTCCGCTAACGTTAGCGGAGAAATAATTTGATGCGAAGTAACACGCTCGCGTGACGTCATGGAGTCGTGTAACCTCGCAGTGTCACTGATGTCACGGCGTTACGTCTCAGTGTCACGTGACGCGACCATCACAATTTCGTCGGTAACTTTAAAAGGAAAATTAACGCTACGTTACATCATGGCATCAGGTGACATTACGACTTTAAACTGTGATGTCAATCTCCCCGCTAGATTCAGCGGGGAAATATATGTTACCTGATGGTGTGACGCCATGCAAACAGGCCAACACGAGTACACAAGGGACGCGGAGTGTTGGCATATACAAGCTGGTTCACAAACTCGCTACTGCTTACGACCGAGTGCCTTGTGACCTCTTGCGAGGGAAGAAGACACTGGCGCCATCTATTGGGTAGCCGTGGAATATCTCGGATTTTCTTAATATATATATGCAACACGGGCACGTCACACCATCGTACGTGGTCCCCGAGGAGGATATAAACGAACATATGAAGATGAATGAGCCGTACTTAATCTAATGAATCAAAGAATCAAAGTTTTCAGGAACCCGCCGAAAGCCAAAGAACGGCGGAGCCAGGATTCTTTGATTCATTGGATTAAGTACGGCTCATTCATCTGCATATGTTCGTTTATATATATATATATATATATATATAAATATGCGTTTAATTCTTTCTTTATTGGCTTTATAAACACTTTTGACAATGTCATAAGCGAACATTTTTCTGAGATACCCATATTTGATCTCCCAAACATCTTCGCCCCGGGGAAATGCAATTCGAGTTCGACCTCACAGATGGCGCCACTTGCTAGTGTGTTTTCTCGTCACCAGAGATCACAACAACTCGGTTATAAGCAAACACAAGTGTGTGAACCCATCTAAAATGTATCCTTCTAAAAATAAAAGTAAAAAATGATAAAAGCCACGACAAGGCGATCACAGAATATAAGATACGAAACAGAGGATGGCGACTTACAATGATCGGATGGTTTATAGTGTCCAGGTGGGACGTCACGGACACCAGAAAGGCCGAGCCCAGGGCAGCGATCGTGTTGTTCTGGAAGTCGCCGAAGTAGTAGGCCGTGCCATCCGTATCTTCCGCGATCTGCTCCAGCTTCCGTGAGGCTTCAGGTCCGAGAGCGTACGTGTGCACTTTGATCGACTTGCTTACGAGGTCCGGCAGGACGTCGGCAACGCTGGGATCGCGGTTCTCTTCGCCGTCGGTGACCAGAATAATCGTGCTCCCGGCGGAACTCGTGCCGTTGACTTCGAGCTCCTGTTAAGAAGACATTGGTCGGTGTTAAAGGGGCCAGGACATAGAAATTAACCCGATAGCTTATTCTTGAAATGAGATGCTTATAGCCTTAGTATAATACACCAAGTTTCGCGATTCTTAGAGCTCTTGTAATTGAAATAATCGAACCCTTGGAGCTTCTGCAGCGCAAGCTTTCGCTGCACGCTACGATCTGAGACACGTTAGCCAACTCGGCCCCCAGATCGTTGAAGCTGGCTTTATAATGATCGCAACCTCTGTTCCAACACGTCGTGGAAGCCAGCGCTGCCGCGAGCGCGGCCATCATTGATGCACTTTTAACCGCTGTCCTGACGTCCTTCCCGTGTGCATTCTTTGGAAGCGTTTACATTTTCGTTTTGGTTTTAACTGGGATGAAAATATCCACGTAGCACGTGCTAAAAACGTTTCCAAACGCAAGAAAGGTTCATTGTGTTTTTTTTTTTTTTTCATTCTCTTTTTTTTTTATATATATATGTTTCTCTTGCACAAGAAATGCTTGGCAGCATTGTACGACAAGCACGTTGGGGCCAGTCGGAGTTTGCGAGGCGCTCATTTCTGCGGTCTGAACCTGCCGCTTTCGCTGTTTGTCATGTGCTGTTCTCGCGCTCCCGTGCTGGAGTGCATAGTTATTGTTCATGCGCTGGGTTCTGTGTGTGGACGTAGACACCTCCGAGGATAGTTCTAACCAGAGCCGTTTATTGGGGAGTTTGGCGGAAAAAAGGCCGCCGCCAGCGCCGAATACTGCCCCAGCGGTTAGGGCGTAAATTAATAGGACGACACAGCGTCGACCAATCAGCAGACCGCGACGTCACAATGTTGCAAACGACATTTAAAGCGTGAAATAGAAGCGTTCAATCGCGGCGTCTCGGTGACAGTTTGCTTTTGGGCCGGCTTGATAGAATAGCGTCTTAGCTGAGACTGGCTGAGAAAGAACAGTGTAAAGGCTGGAGCGCGCGAGCGTCTCGAGACGCATATCGAGTCCCGCTCAGCTCGTGCGCTGGCTTTGGCAGTGCTTTCTTTGCGCCAGTTTCAGCGCACGTTCGTTTATTCTATACCCTTGAATATACACGTGACGAAAACCTCACATGCGCCAGGTTTACCAGTCACCGTGAGTTATACCTTTTCACTCTAGCGACACTAAAACAGCTTAAATTAGTTGTGTCACATTTTTAGAGCTCTCGACCACCGCTAGAGGCTGTTTCGAGGCCTGTGGTTGGCCCCGAGCAGAGCCGTGTATGTAGAGAGTTCGGCCATTTGTTGGGAAGTATAGGAGACAAATGAGGAGGCGCCATCGGCCGAAAACGGGCCGGGCGTTTTCGAATATGGCCAATCGGAAGTCGGAAATAATACCCTGGCGGTGGTCGCGAGAAACAAGCCTGATAAGTGTGTCGGAGTAACTCTCGGTGACTAAAAATATGGTGCACGTGATGTCTCAATCGTGGTCATCCAAAGTCATGGTAGAAGAGTGTGACTAGCGAAGCGGTCGACATAACTCGTACGCCAAGCGCCGAGGGCCGGGAATCCGCCGTCCGAGCGGTCACACTCTACTCGAGCAAAACAGAGTTGAGCGGCGCGTTCGTTTCTTACAACCTTCTGCATGATCATAATCGAAACATCACGTGGATCCTATTTTCAACCATAAAGGGTTACTACACTTCACTCCTACGCGCTAATTAAAACCGTATACAAACATATACCTTGGACCAAAACACTTTCTCGCTACCACAGCTAGGGGATTCTTTTAGGCTTCTGGTTGGCCAAGGGAGCATGTCAAGCCCACTTTCTCTGTCTGGTGCACGCCCTGGCTCTGCCCGCGCCTCCCATTGACTAAACTCTCTGTATACACGGCTCTGGCCCCGAGATGCTCGCCTATTCAAACCAATGTATGGCCAAACTCTCCCAATAAACGACTCTGGTTCCAACGAGCCGGTGACGAGCGGGCTACTCGTCACCGGATCCGCCGCTCGACGGCGATGATCCGGCAAGTTTAGTGGCCTGGGTTTCGCCGTCCAAGAAGCTTCGCTGCATGGCTCCTAGTTGACACTGAGAACGTCGTCTCCACGGTCTGGGTGTGCTCGGTGGTTGAATGATTCTGATCGAGCCGTCTTCGGTCGTGACAGTGCACTGTCACGACCGTTAATGGGTGACTTAATTAGTGTGTCTACAGAGTGGGCGAAATGGATTAAACGCACTTTAAACCGACTGCATAAATTGGTTTCCTAACTTATCGCGCTGGGGTTTATTATAGAGGTGCCTGAAGGTGGCGGAAGCTTTCGCTTAAATTGTGAAAAGATTGGCTCACCTGAGTAAATCAAGAAAAATCAAAAATTGCTTTCCCAATACTTAGCACCTACACTAAAACAAATATTACAGTACTGTGGCGTTTATTCGGGGCGAATGAACTGAAGAATAGGTAGGCCTATTTTTCCATTTCACAAATTTTTAAATCGTAGTAAACGCCAGAATAACTTAGAACGATTTTCTGATGATTTTGAGACAAAATGCTTAACGATAACTTTTCCAGACAAAAAAAGTTTTCTTTTTTTTTTTTCTTTTGCAGCGAAGCTGCAAGAAAAAGCTGTTTGTGGCTATAGGGTTCCGTGTACTTACCTCTGTAGTAAATCCCAGTGCGGTAAGTTATAAAACCGATTTATACGGTCAGTTTGAATAACGTTCTATCCATTTCGCCCACGCGGTAGCATTAGGACTATTAAAAAAATGTTTTGGCATTCTACGAGTCTATCTGAATTTGCTTATATCTTTCTCGGAAACGCGAGCATTTGTCACTGGTCTACACACAAATTAAGATGTGGGCTGCGTGCGGTATTATATTGCATGCATTTCTGCCGCGCAACGCGCGGAAGGAGTGCGACTGCCGCCGTACTCCTATATCAAATACAGCCTTCGTTCGCCGTGTGTGGCGACAAGAAAGCAATCTCTCGCGAACGGCGACCACATCCCTTTGAATTCTCGATTAACGTAAGGAACGAGAAAGCTGGTTCGCGGCTGCTATGCTGGGAAGCGAAGACATAGATGCTGTGAACCGATGTGGGAGGTTGTTTTATCGACTGTCGCAAATTATTTTCGTGTTTACCTTTGTTTTCTACTAGGAGATAGAAGCCTTGATTTATTTGAAAACGTTCTTGAAGATGGATCTTGGGGCGAAACGAGCACTATATTTGCAACATTATTCTCTAACGTGTAGATACCCGAACAGTTTGCGCACTCAGATCGTCAGTATAAAAGACTCATGGGCAGTCAACGGATTTCGCTATTGGAGTGATTAGAGTAAGCACGTCAGGTGTGTTCGTCATATTTGTATGTGATTTGTTTTGAATGCACTTGATCACATGTGAGCCGAAAATGTTTGTGTGCAAGATGTGTATCTATGATGATTATGCGATTAACGCAAAGATGCAAGCGGGCGGGAAAAGAATGACGATAATAATCCCTGGAGAAGGGGAACAAGGGCGACAAAGGACAAGCACAAATCGCCAAACACAGCTCAGTGACTGGTGCGCGACCGAAAAAATCCGCCTGGTCCTTTTATCGAACCAGTGACCTCTCCATTTCCAGTGGAGCGCTCTACCAACTGAGTCAACCATGACTAAGACGTCAGTATAGCAAAGGGGTTTTATCAGCTGCCACCAGTCTAACACAAACAAGGGTGAGTGGCCTGCATCTTAAAAGTTATGATGATTATGATATTAATGTAAAGGTGCAAGCGAGCTGGACAAGAATGACGAAAATATTTCCTGGAGAAGGGGAACAAGGGGGACAAATGACAAACACAAATCTCCAAAGACAGCAAGAGGTGACTGGCGCGCAACCCAGAATATCCCCCTGGTCCTGGTATAGAACCAGGGACCTCTTCATTTCCAGTGAAGCACTCTACCAACTGAGCTAACCTGCAGGAGTTAGACGCCAGTAAATCAAACGGGTTTTATCAACTCTGAACTCAGTCAGACTTAGATGCGGTTGAGGGTGCTCGTGTATCCGGGGTGTAGTTCACAGTAACCGTTAGCGACACTTAAGCGTAACTGCAGTTTAGGGCGCTCGTGTAACTGGAGTATAGTTGCCAGTAACCGTTAGCCACGCTTAAGCGTAACAGCGGTTTGGGATGCCCTTCGGGCAAACCTTAACCGTACCGGCATTCTTCCTATCGGCTGCTGCCGTGATTTCCCTGGGTGTTAGCCCCGAGAGCGAACACAAGCGTCGCTGCGGTCGCCGCGCCCTGATTGGGTGAGGTGTACCGTGACGTCAGGGCGAGTACCCCGCTCCGCGATCTCGCATCGGGTCGCTTCAAAGCACCGGTTTCCTGGTTTGGCGTTGTGTGCCGCAAGCTCTTCGAGGAGCCGGACTTCGTTTACCCGGTGTACAAGACGTTGAGTTAGGCCGATATTAACGTGCTTCCGTACATTTTATAAGCCCGCTTGTCCCTTTTACCTTTAAAATCGGGTTACAAATCCCGAAAACTATCGGCGGAGGCAATTACGCCGATGAATCTCCCCGTCCGTCCACACGACGCAAGGCAATCTTGAGAGGGGTCGGTGAAGCGGTGACGCAAGTGTTTCAGACGCTGGAATTCTGTTCCTTGCATGTTCATGATTTAGGACGATATTAAATCCCGCTTTCAAGGCATCTGAAGCGGCCTTTATATCATGGGCCTTTCGGTGGTCGGCAAATTAGCTCGCGACCCCGACTCTGCGCTGCCACTCTGCATGCGCTGGTTTGCAGATGTTTTAAAGGCCGTGCGTCTGATGATCTTTGAAGTGCTCATGGAACAGGGTTGTTTTACATAAATGCAGCTTCTTCCTGAATTAATTATATAGTTTATACGCGTATGCAGGCATATTTCTTAGAGGATTCACAATTACTGGAAATTAGTTTCTATGGTAGCAGCAAAAACGGCCGAATTTCCCCCAGTTGCCTCTATGATATGTAGTAAACTGCCCAAAATATGCACAGCAATTGTGCCGTAATTTGGAATGTTTATACTTTTTCCTGACATTCTTTATTCCAGCCTTTGGTATTCGGAAAATACACCGTTTAGTCTGAATTTTCATTTCCATTTAAGAGTCACTGCCGCAGGTCCCCAAAAGCTTCCTCAGCCTCCAAACTCCCTGCAACTGGGCTCTCTTACAACAGAGGAAAACAGGATTAAAAGCAAGCATTCGAACGTCTGTCTAGTGGAAGATGCAGCACTGGTAGCAGAAAATGTGGAACCTGTGAAGGGCGACAGTCTGCGTGAGAAAAGCTTCTGGTACTTTAGCTTCAGGACATTTCGATTTAAGTAAAATCTCAATTTTAGGGCTTAGTGGACTAATAACGAGCTAGACACCTTAACTTACGTTTGTTATATATTACTTGAGGATTGATATAAAGAAGTCCACAGACACCACCCGTGTAGTCCATTGAGATACTATCCGAATCCAGCAAAGGTCAAGTGCGAGCAATGTATATAACAAATGTTCCTTGTTTGTTTTTTTACTTTGCCCCTGCACTTGGGCTGTTTTACTTGTGATTCTCTCCCCATGGCAGAGACTGTATTTAGCACGTTGCTCGAGCAGCATGCAGCTTTTCTGCTTCGGCGATCTTGTTTAAAGACAGAGATACAAAAAAAAAAATAGTATACATAACCTGCCAATTCATTCGGACCATCAGCAGCGTTTATTGTGCGAGATGTAAATCTGTAGTGATGCCCCTGCAATTGTGGCCATATTTCTTTATTTTCATATACCAGCTGTGGTTCATGCGTTGCCTGGCCTGTCAGCCATGCTTAAAATGTTCGTTGAAGTTTCGCCTGTAGCTACAGGCCATACCTCAATAAAGGCATATATAAAAATTTACACTTCCTACGAAAAACACGCCAAAAAAAAATAAATAGAAAGGAGCGCGCCGACAGCTAGCGTCGTCACAGCCTCCACAGGGCGAGCGGGGCGAGTCGGGGAAAAATTCTCTCCTCGCCGTGACGTCACCCCGGTTCGCCGTAAGGGGGCGCCAGGCGAACTTCTCGGGGCTAATGGAGCTGTGATAAAATGTTCGGGACGCGCGGTTACGCCCTGCGTTTCGTAAACTGTCAATGACTATGGCAGCCAAAACGAGTGCCATCGATCACTGTAGGATCATTCGCGATACCGCTGAAACTTCTCATTTGCTAAGCCTAACACAATTAACAGCAACCGTTATTTACGAAGTCCTGGAAGACACGAAATTCAGTATTTGAGGAGCAATCGTTTAAATTTGTTTAGAAGGCATGGAATAATCGTTCCGGGCTTTGAAGAAGCTGCAATTTTATGGATTTCCCCGCTAAATTGGCAGTGAGACTGACTCGGTACAAAGGTGACGTGACATCAATTTTCCCGCAGGAAACTAGATTGGTATAGATAGGCTACGCGACGGTCAGGTCACGTGACACAAATTGTTCCGCTAAATTCAGCGGACAAATTGAATTGGTTTGTAGGTCACGTGAACTCAATGTCCCCGCTAAGTTTAGCTCGAAATGCACGGACGGACAGAAATTTCGGATTGGGAATTTCCGTTAAAAAGCATTTCCTGCTTCGAAACTAAACGAATGACGTGCGTTCCACGAGGACGTACACATGCATAAGAGCCTCTGACGGTGTATTTCTGAAATTTACCCGGTGGAAAACATAGTTAGTGTTTTACCGAACGTCCGTATTTCTTGTACTGTTTCCTGCTTCTGCTTGTTTCATCCGATGCAAACTCTGTCAGCCTATCAGCTTAACCGCAGGGTCAGACTGTTTGTATTTTCCTGTTTTTACGCGGGGTATACCACCTGGACGCCATACTTGAATGTGCTGTTCACTGTGCACGCTCAAACGAGCTCACAGGCTACTAAGAGCGGCAATCTCGATGGTGTGCAATGCACGTTGCAACAGAACTGTGGAAGCTCGCTGTTAGCCATCGCGGTCTTGGCTATGACCGCCGGCGAATACTTCCTGCAAGATAATCGATCGAGAAATGCTCTCACCTTAATGGCCAGCTGGAGACCGCAACCGATGGACGTTCCTCCGCTAAGCCGCAGTCGCCTGACGACAGCCGCTAGAGCATCTCTGGTGTTGTTGTTCAGCGAGGCCAGCGGATGCTCGACTTTGCATGATGCGTGGAAGCTGATGAGCCCTACGATCTCACCGTCGTAGATAGAATAACGGATAATGTTTTGCACCGCGGTCTTCAGGTAGTCCATGCGCCCGTACTGGAAACAAAAACATTGCTTTTACGAACACCATGCCGCTACGTAAATGAGTGGTGTAAAATTGAACCTAATAAAAAGCAAACACTTTATTATATACTTCTTTTCAATACAAGTTGGACCGCACGGATGCGATGAGCGCTGGATGATGCGCTTTTGGTGCTGCTTGAATGGCTATCCCATCGGCTCGGGTCTGACTTGGGGAGTACAGAGAAAATGTCTTACTCCTCGAAAATGAAATGGCCGTGGAGCCGACAGCTTTTGCGTTGTTACAACGGCTGAACGCGCGCATCCTCGAGGTTTTTCAATTTTGAATTAGGAGGGGAAACCGTCATCTGTTGCCGTGAACATACTTCGAGACAGCTCGGTGACAGCCGTTTTTGCAGTCTCGGCCAATCCGGTGTCTCGGTGCGTCGGTGGCAGCCCTCTCTGTCTCTTTCTCAGCACAGCACGAAAGCGCGACAGTGTGGACGGTGCGATGCGCGTGCGCTCTCTCGGATGCGGGCTGTCCACCCCGACATGGGAGGATTTGTGGCTGTATAGGTGCGCTATGCATACGAGTGGAGTGATGGACCGTATTCTCCTTTAATAACTAACATTTTAGGAGACGCAGGGTGTGGCTTAGCATGTCCACGCTTTTTACATCGTGAGTTGTTCTTCGACGACGTGAGTGGCCACGTGACTTCCTGCCATGAACTTCCGTGCTCGTGTTTCGGTTGCGGTTTGGAGCAGTTGAGTTTTTTGGCTAAATGTGGATTGGGTAGTCTACTAACATAACATTTTTTTTTTTTTGGGGTCTGTGTGTGTGCGTGTGGGGGGGGGGGTTGTTAGTGTTTTTTTAAGTCCAGACTGCTGCGTACGTACGCCAAAATCAGTAGAGAGCGTACGCATACGTAAAGCTCGCGGCGTTGCGTACCCGCGTGGAGCACGCGCTGTGCGAAGCAGCTAACGCCACCGAAAGCGCACAGTGCTTGCGTTTACTCCTACGCGGAGCACCAGATCGTCTGCTTCTTGCAGAGTTGTTGCGATGATGTCAGAACGCCGAAGTCTTATGTTTGGCTGATTGAAAAAAAAATATATTAGTTTGTAGACCTCGAGGCAGCATTTAGGTCAATCACAGCCAATCAGAGCTCGGCGTTGTTCTGACGTCACCGCAACTCCTGCGCAAGAAGCAGACGACTTGCTCTCCGTATACACAATATCCCTAATAAGTCGGACCGTATACCGGACGCGATGATCCGATGGTGTTAATTGTTATATAAACGATGGGCCCTCTGGTACGAACTGCGCATGCGCTGCCGCAGAAAACTCGCACATGCGCAGTGCGTACCGGAACGTCCATCGTTCCGTATTGGATGTGCAAAAACGGTTCCCTAAAACTCTCTATTCTTGGCTCTGCTTAATTAACACCATAGCTGCCGCGACGATCCGCCTTATTAGGGATATTGTGTGCACCGCAATTTCTACGCCACCGACAAAAGGAACAGCGTCGGGCACATCATCGGCGGCGCGTATCAGCGCCTTCGAATGAGGTTCGTGCACTGACTGAGTGAACGCGAATCTCTGTCGAACGCTGACGTGGCATTCGTCATCGATCATTGTGCGGATCGCTGATCCCTTGTATGTTGGTTGTGCGGAGTATTCAGCGCGTCTGCCGTCTAAACTCTGTTTCACTTTATGTTATACAATTCGACAGAGCCGATCAAGTATAGCGGAGGAATACTGTCCTCGTCATGGCACACATAATGTCATTTATTGTTTTGACCGCCCATTAAGAAATTTTGTTTGTCTCAGTTATCTGTTGGATACAGATAACGCCATGTTGTCAAATTTTTTACCTTCTATCCCAACCGTTAGCGGCACATTCCCAGGGAGTTTGAGCTTTCTGCGATGCATGGTTTATTTACCCCGACTGAAAAACACGGCTCTCTTTCCTCGGGACCTTCATGTATTCGCGACTCCAGCGAACTATAAGGGTCGCGCTGGTCAGGCAAAATGGCGGACAAAAGGAGGTCGGTTTCGTCGTTCAGCACGCGGACCGCCATAAATTTCTTGCACTGAAGCGTAAAATGAGTGTTACATAAAAAGGCAAAGCAATTTCTCGACGGTAAAACCTTCTTCTGCCCAGTGACTGGGAATAACACGGCGGAGGCGTAAAAATAATTACTGGAAACTATGTTTGTTTCTATGCTGCCTACGAGGACCAAGCAGCGCTAGGTGACGACAGAATCGAAACTGCCTACTCTTTTGACTTTTTCAATATTGCCGCTATGCGGCGTCGATTTCGCTGGAGCCGCCATCATTAACGGCTAAACCATTAACGCGGACTAAGTGCTGCGTGACTCTGCGCTTTTTGATGGGCCTGATTGGTTCAGGCGGTGAAAGCAAGCGCAGAAAACCGGGGAGCGCCGTGACTATGCACTTTTGGTGCTGCTTGATAGGCTACATCGGATTGCAGTGTTTGGAGGGAACTTAAAAAGTGAAAGCCGTTTACAACTCCCTGTAACGCCGAATTAGAGCGCAACTCTTGAGGAGGAGGGAAGGGCACTGGGGGGGGGGGGGTCAAGTGACCTGAGGGGGGGTCACGTGAGCTGGGGGTCACGTGGCGATGACAATGCCGATGATGTCATCAGTGACGTCACTGATGACGTCTTTAGTGACGATGACGATGCGGATACCGATGACGTCATTAGTGACGTAACTGATTACGTCACCAGTGATGATGACGATGCGGATGTAGGTGACGTCATCTGTGACGTCATCTGTGATGATGACGATGCGGATGCCGGTAACGACATCAGTGACGTCACTGGTGACGTCATCAGTGATGATGACGATGACGATGCGGATGCCGGTGACGTCGTCAGTGACAATGACGTCATCGGAGGGGTCACGTGACGTAGGGGGTCACGTGACCTCAGGGGAGTCACGTGACTTCGTGGGGTCACGTGACCTCAGGGGGAGTCACGTGACCTCCGGGGGGGTCACGGGACCTCGAGGGTCACATGTCCTTGAGGGGTCACGTGACCTGGGGGTCACGTCACCTTGGGGTGACCTTGGGAGGGGTCACGTCACCTTGAGGTGACCTTGGGAGGGGTCACCTGACCTTGGGAGTCACGTGGCCTCGGGGGTTTACGTGACCTCGGGGGTCACGTGGCCTTGGGTGACCTTAGTTACGCCGACGGCGACGCCGCTCAAGCTGGAAACGGGCGCCTAAGAGCTGCGCTCTAATATGACAGGGTATACAGAGCGCTGTAATAATGTAGGCAATTACTCTCATGCTCTGCGACACGTCCAAGACGAACACCATGCGTGATCCACTGTCTTCAATCTCCTGCTGCTCGCGAAAAGTGGTTTGGATGGTTCTGTTCGCCGGGAGTTTGGGCAATCTGAAGAGAAAGAAACATAGTCACATATATAAATGCAGGTTTAGGCAGAATCTTTTTAGACGAGCCGACCGTAAATATGGCCGCCGTTTAACAAAACAAAAAATGCAAAGCACTAGACCATGCCACTGACAACCTAAGAAGTGCAGAGCAAGTCCTGATTATTTAACTATACTCTCTCGGAAATAGGGGGTGTAATACTAACACCCCTTGCCCGTATATCTTTTCAAAAAGCTACAATTCGACGTTCAGTCCACTGACGTGGAACCGACGATACCAACTTTCACGAGCGGCTTGATAGTCGAGTAATGCAACTTGTTAAAGTAGTTAATGTACGTATTGAAGATTACAAGAGAACACTAAAAGGTCGGGGTTCCACTACCCATGACCATGCAAAAGACAGTCTGCATCAGGGCTGCCGACACGCGGAAAGTCAAAATTTTCCTCGCGGAGGCCTGAAATTTTTCTATTTCTGCCCAAATTTACCTCGCTTTCGCAAATAAATAAAATACTAACTATTCGTTTTTTTCTGCCACACTTGCATTTTTACGATGAGAGATATATTATCTAACCTTTACACCACGGTGCGTTTCGCAAAAATGAGTTTGTTGGGCCAGAAGAGTGGTTGAAGCAATTCTGGCGAGGGGAAGTGTTGCCGGGAGATTCAAACTGACGAATGAAACCCTATCATTGCCTTAGGTGTTATGCACGTCATCGGCACATGGTGCGGCTTTAATAACTTCTTTAGCGCTTTTTATAACAGTCAGTTCAAAGCAAAAGGGTGTAGCACAAGCTCGAGTTCTCAAACTCGAACACATAGAACACGACACATAGTAAACATCATTTCGTGCACGGCACTTCACGAAATATTATAAGCCATGGTAAGTCTGTCCGTTTCTCCTGACATCGCAGTATGTCTCGTTGTACTCAAGCTTTCATTTCCTAGTCACAATTCTGAAAGAATTGTGACAAACAGTGTTGCGCTAATCTACGCATTTTCACAACTGCGTTAGAATGTAAAATTTGTGATGCAGTCATCGACTTTCCTCGTTGCCATGAGGCATTCTAAGCAGCGATCTCGCGGCGACTCGCGTTCGATTCTATATGCAGACTGTCTTTTGTATGTCGTATCATCAGTGTGACCCCGGCTTAAGTCAAACTGCCGCCGACGCTACAATCCAATAGAGCTAATCAAACGGTGCCAAAAGTGCACTGTCACGGCCCTCGCTCTCTTTGTGGCTTTTGCTATTTGACTCAAGCAGGGGTCTCGAAACCCCGGCCCCCGCGGGCCAGATCCGGCCCGGGGTTGCCTTCCGACCGGACAGCGGCTGGCCGCGGTTCTTCCAAAGAAACCCGGTCCGCGGCCCGATTTCAAAAGTTGCGCTGCAACCGGTGCCAAAAGATATGCGCCTAAGAAAACGGCGCCGCAAGCGCCCCAAATGCGCAAAGGAAGACGCCAGCAATAGGTAAAGAAACTGCACTTCAACAAGGTTCTCTCGCCGTGACTGAAAATTGTCGTCATCGGCGTTACCATTCTTAATTCCCGGCTGCATGCTTCAATTTTGTAGCTCATGTAAAAATTTGTAAGCGTTCTTGCGAATTGTGTCAGCGTTAGCTTTATCGTTCTATTAGTCTTTTTTTGCACCGCGGGAGTCTGTCAAAGTTTCCATGCGCTTTGGTTTATGCTTGGCGAGTTTTCGTGGTCACAAACGTTGTGTAACGGCATACCTAGCTAAATATTACTTTTCACATTGAAATATATGCATTCATCCAACTTAGTTTTCATTTTCTTTTCCAATACTTGCTCTGGCGCTCATTTCTGCGCTTGAATTCGTAGCTACACTCCGACAGAGTGTTTACAAACAAGCCCGCTTTGCCCACACCATGTGTGGGCACTACGCTTGCGCAGAAACCGAATTCAGGAGGGGTGGAGCGCTTGCACATGCGCTGTACCGACAGCAGCGCAACCGCAGGGCCGTGACGTCGATGAGTTGAGTCGGTCTTTAGCGTTGGTTGCGGTCGGACTTAAAATGAGAGGGAGTAAAGTACACTGAAGGCAAGAAACGTCATGTCCAATGTCGTCCCCAACGTAGCTATAAACATTCTATCTATAAAAAAAAGCTCGTGTTTTTGCGGTTATCAATTCGTTGAGCGTACCTTCGGTCATTGCAATAATGCAATCCCCATGCACTGAAAAATTCAAACGAGGTCACGTTTATGTAGGGCGTTAAATTATTTTTCGTTAAAGCTCACAAGAACTACCGGGCAAATATTTCTGCTTCCCGCAACGTACCACATGAGCGTTTATTTTTATTATCCATAATCTTGCCGGAACCATTCTTCGTATCACAAAACAACTGCCAAATATCTTGTATTGTTAACACGAAAAAAGGCGGAGCAAAAACGAATGACGACTAATACTGGGAGATAGAAAGCATCTAGAGAGCCCGAGAATGGCAGTCAACGTTTTTCTTGAACGCTTTTCTTCTGCAGTAAAGGAAATACCGTGTAATAGCTTATTATCGACACTTCTTTTCACTATATGGCGAAAAGAAGTGATACTAGTGCGAACTACAGCGTCTCAGTCTTGGCGTTAATTTTTTTATTTCTTAAGCCGTGTTAAACATGCCCATAGATTCTACACAATGCAGCCAAGTAGTAAAGGTCATTATGCCCAATGTATGGACACATACATTGGGCATAATGACCATCACTACTTAACTGCACGGTATGAATCGCGGTTTGATTGACACCGATTTTAATGAGCTAGGCACTATATGCTTTTTACAGTATCTTTACGCAACCAATACTTTTCGTGACTAACCACTTTCATTTGAATTTAAAAAAAAAATGACCGAGCGTTATGGATGTGTTTGGATCTTTTATTCCTTCGGCATTTTTACATCCAACTCGAAAATTGTTTTACCGTAGAGCCATATTTGAGCAAAATGCTCACATCGTGATTTTAATTTTAGCTCATAGGTCTCTCTTAACCATAGCGCATTAGAAAATATTATGTTCTCAAGAGGAACCCTAGGGTTCAGCATGCAGCGTTTTGTGCGCACGAGGCTGAGTATACGTACTTCAAGTAATCCTTGTGCTTCATGATGACTTCCCAGGTGGACAGTCCCTTATAAACTCTGTTGTGCTTACTGTTTCCCAAAGGGTTGTGGGTGTCCTGGTCACAAAACAGTTTTACCTGGTATTGAGAAAGAAAAAAAAAATTAAGAAAAGACAAAAAAGGTGGCGTATAAACCTCGCATAACGCGAATGTTTTCGATTATTGTCGGAAGACTCCAAGACTCTCAGGAATGAATGTCGATTCAGCGACGTTCACATCAGGGCCTTGGAAGCTCGTGGTTGCCAAATGTGGAGCATGTTGCACCACGCGGCCTTTTTCAATGACGCACGAAGGCAAATGTCTGGCAAATTGAGCATATCCAGAAAAAGACGGGGGATGGTCTAAAAAAATCGAGTTGATGAACCATGCACTAAACGTGACCTTGTTTGAAGGACGTGAGCGCCAGATCCTTCATCAGGGGACCTCAGAAAGAGTGGTTTTCAGAAAGAGTGGTTCCCCTTGAAGCCTATTTCGGCAATTCAAGTAGTGCGAATGTGTCGACAAATAACTTTTCTCGCGTGACTAAGGGAACCAACATCGCAGTTCGCCAGCAGATTGTCACGTGGGATTTTTTTGTTTTAATTCGAAAGCATTCAGTGTTTGATGGAGCGAACCGACCTCTTCACCTTTTGAAGCCGCGCCCAACGGCACCTTCCCCTGTCCCAATGGAGCGAAGCCTGTCGTCAGTAGCATAAGTCTCATGGATAGTCTCCTACTGGTTGGCGCGCGTCATTGTTTCAAGGAACGATCGAGGCTCCCATTCGCACTCGCGCGGCGTAGTTCCAAGGAATGCCACCAGAGAAGCCCTTTCCATGGCGGTGCAGCGCAAGCAGCGACATGTCCACCTGTAAGAGGAAGCAGCTGGCCGCAGAGCCCGCCCGGGCAGACTCCGGAGAGGCTGCACGGCCAAGCACAGCGCGGCGCGGCCGCTTCTTCACGAAAGCGCGCTCGGCCGCTCGCCGCTACCTTGTCAATTAATCAAGCATTTCACCCGAGGGTATCAATAAACGCGACTAAAAACCTAAAACGAACCGCTGTTTGCGACATTATACCGAGTGCTTTCAACTGCCTTGCGCGTGCCGCTCGTGAGGGAACTCGTGCTACGTTTGTGACTGTCCGGGTAAGGCTTGCGGAAGGCGCGTAAATGTCGAGATCTCCGTCTAAGAAGAGTGGTTGTCAGGGCGAATTGGTTTGACATCTTATACAATCTTGTGCGCAGCAAAGACGAGGACGTGTCCTGTTCGCTTCTTTTGTTCTCGTCCTTGCTGCGTACAAGATTGTATAAGATCTCTGTATAAGACGTCACAATTCCCTTCTCGCACCGAACGCGCCCCGAAGGAGGGGCTTCAGCGCTATTTTAAAAGCCCTGTTGTGGCTATTTGGCGTGTCAATCTGAAATATATTTTTGATATTCGTGATCCTAGAGGGCGAATGAACATGATAGATTTCAAATACAGAACCCCTTTTGGTTCTCTTTAAGCATCCCGTCTGCATATGTCTCAAATGAATATGTAACGGGCTGCTGAACAACACAAAGGAACGGTGCAACGATATTCAGTTGAAATGATTATCACTTTAAACGAGCTTGCTGGCACTAGTGGGACCCAAGAAAATTCGCACAAAACTCCATTCACCAAGAAACTTCTTTGTTGCGGTGTAATTTCGAGGATAAAAGCGAGCGTTTTCTTCCAGTCTCTCCTTCGCAAAACTTGATGACGTATTTCGGAGGTCGCAATGTTGGCATGTTCCCCCGAGTGACCTACATGAACGCGGCTAACCGATTGGAGCCGAGCATTCTGTGGGTACTCAATTTCGGCTGGACATAATCATGTAGTTCGAAACGCACTCGGATACTGGCTCGTTTAATCGCTGCAATGAAAACCGTAGCCACTAACTAATAATCATCATCATCATCATCTTTTTCATTTGCTCAAGAGAGCGGCAGCACCGTTGAAAGGCAACAACCCGCACCAGTGAGGTTCGCGATGCCGCGTCTAGTGATGGTTTTTACGAGATGATACTATATACAACATGAGGACGACATGACCTCCTGCACGTTGAGAAAACCGCTCCCTTAGTGTCGGCTACTCGGTGATGGTCCAGGCAAGTCACCCAGCGGGCCAAGGTGACTTTTAGCTATAGCTGGTTAACCCTGACAACGTCTAACCCTAACTCTAACAATGTCTAACCCTAATCATTTCGAACTCTAAGCTCGCTGGCTAACCCTAACAATGTACAACAACCCTAACGCTTGCTAACCCTGACAATGTCTGGAGTTAAGCGCGTGCCCAGCGTTTTGTCATCCCCAGCGCGTGTCTATTATATGCTCTGGCGGCATACAAGCGACTCCTGGTCACGAGTTGTGGCCGCGAGTTGAGGGATCGAACGCGGCTCGTTTTTCTTTAACTTTTTTTTGTGCGACTACCGTTGCACGGGGGGAAGAACTAACGCGTGATTATTGAGGTTATTATAAACGCAAGGGCTTTACTGTAAACGGCATTTGAGCAAATTACAAGAAATCGTTGCACCGTTCCTTTAGAACATTTCTCTCAAGACTCACCCCTTCTAGGTAGGGCAGAAACATGACGGACTCGGCAGCCCGGTCAGGGCCCTGGTAGTACGTGACGTCACAGGAATAGGGGGACGTGGAGCAGGAGTTCATGTCCGGACACACGCCACCGGTTCCGTTCGTTACATTGTAGGATATCAGGTCACTACATCTCACCGCTTTCATCTCAGCGCCATTCTGAAAATACACGAGACAATTCCCGGAAGTTGATCGTTTACGCTGCTAGAAATGTTGGGTTACAAATACCTAACGACGTTACTGGTTACGCGTTACTTTTTGCAGTAACGTAGTAGCGTACTCGCGTAATTTCTAAATCACTAGCGAGTAAACTATTCTTGTTACTACCTACGGTACTGCCTATGGCATTACGTCACTTGTTACTATTCATTTATAATGTTTGTTTTAGCTTAAAAAATTGACTCAAAATGTATAAACTTTGCCTAAAAGCGAAAATACTGTATTTTCTTCTCCGTGGCGTCATTTCTCTAATTCGTTTAATAACAATAAAATATTCCGCAAATTTATTTTAAAAATAAAACAAATGCTCTGAAATTTTTTTTATACAAGATGAACTGTTGTCGAAGTTCTTATCTTAGGCCTTTCGCTGTCAATAATATTGAACACTAAAGTAATGCAAAAGTAACATTCATTAGGTTTTTGGAACTAACGAAACTGTATTTCGTTACGTTTGGGAGGCAGTAACGAATCTCAGTAACGCGTACATTCTTGACGAAGTAATGATTAACGCTATTTCGCTACTCATTTTCGGTAACGGCTACAACAGTGTTTACAGACGTATCTCGTTGGGAGGAAACGGACAACTCCGTCTCCCCCCAAAAGACCGTTCCTAATGTGAATTGTCTATAATAACGAGGAAAGCAAATTCGCGTACTTACCACCTCACGAACAATTAACACAAAGATACGAATTACGATGCTTTAGGGAAGCTTATAGGGATACTTCAACAAAATTTGATATATACAGGTCGTGTTCAGAAATCGGCTGAGTATGATCCACAATATGCGTAAATTACAATCGCATTTCAAAATACAGCCCAATGGCTGCATTTTTTGTTATAAACGGCACAGTCTGGCAAGTGCTCGAAAAGCAGCCAGCGCAGAGCACGTCACATCCGCCGCAATCGTGACGTAGATTGTCTCGGGACGAGCAAAGCTGCGGCGAGGCTGACTTCGGGAGGATGTCCTAGCCTATCCAGCCACCGAAGCGGCTGGCGCACGCCAGCGATCGGGCCACCACAACTAACACCAAAGCTGGTTTTGTTCGAACTTTGAGTGACGGGTTAATCTTCTATAATCTTGTAGAGGGACAATAGCGACGTCTGGGAGACACAAAAGAGAGACTCGGAAAGAGGGGAGTTCCTCCTCGAGTCCTCCTCCCCTTCTCTCGTGGTGGCCGGAGGCGAGACAGTTATAGACACTACCTGCCAAGGTTCCTAGACGAGCATTACAAACGAAGTGGTAGCGACATTCACCAGGCGTTCTTTTCCAATCGTTTAATTAGTTTTAACATTCCTTTTTGTATCTTTTTCAACAAGAGAACACGAATATACCAAGAAATAAGCGCCGAAATTTCGTTGTAGTATCCGTTTAAAAAGCCACTAACACGGCAAAAAATGTATTTTTCCCTGCGGGGCAATCGTTTTGGGAGTCAGGACACTACCTAATCTTTTTTTACTTGAACTACGCGTAGTTTTCTTCTTTTCTTTTCGTTTTTTTTATGGAGCAAAAAGACGAATCTGAAACTAAAGCGCCGACGAGGGTTCACGCGGAACACTGAGGCGTCACGCGTTTTCGAAGTATGTATAATACCCAAGAGTGCACTGGCTAACACTCTGCCGATGTCAACGCACGTCTTGACCATAAAGCAAGAGACAACAAAAAAAAAATCATGAGCCATTCCACTTTGTGAAGGTGGATGACCAGCGAATTTGTTTAGCACATGACACAGACCCGTCCCGAGGAGCCGGAGGAAACTAGACACGCGTGACGGGACCACCACCCGAGGAAACTAGACACGCGCGACGGGACCACCACCCGAGGAAAGTAGACAGCGCGATGGGACCACCACCCGAGGAAAGTAGACAGCGCGATGGGACCACCACCCGAGAAAAGTAGACACGCGCGATGGGACCGCCACATAGAAAGAGCGGAAGTAAAGGAAACAAGGCACGCGAGCGCTTTCGTTACGTTTGGAAGACAACAAAGAGAGGGCGGTGCGAGCGTAGACATGGTCGACGCGGGTCGCACAGTGACAAATCCTTGAGAAACTTTTATTATCTACCGGAGAGTCTACTGATCTTGAAAATGATGCACATTGATAACTAATCTACTGAATAGACCTATTGCTAAATTTCCCAAGCATCAAGGACAATGCAGGGAATGGTGTTCCACGCGTTGCACGTGCCGGCAGTAACTGTTTTAGAACAAGAGCCTAAAACAAACGGCATCTTGCACGCGCGTTCGTCAAGGCTTTATTTTGGTTATTTACTTCGAATCTTTTATACGGAGAAGGCGTGCACGTGCGGCGCGTGCGGCGGTGCGAGCGTACAGTTTTTGGTCACGTACGCGAAAAATCTACGGAACCTAGAAACAGCTTCGCTGTAAAAAGATGAGGTGGGGTAAATAAATAAATAAAAACATCGTACTTTGTCTTGTTCGCGAGGTGTCTCACTTTAACCAAATATTAATTGTGAGAATGTGACATTTCGAAAATTGGCTTGTACAAGCTGTCGTTCTTGGGAAGGTGTAACATCGTCTCTGTGAACGTTAGAAACTAGATGTAGCGGTCCTTTAGAACGTACCGGGTTGGCACTGCAGTACAAATTCTTCTTAGGATATTCCGCGTTCTCGGAGTAAACTTTGTATCGGTGGATTGCCCAGTGATGTACCAAGTGGTACTCTGAAAGAAGAACCACGGGTATCGCATCAACCACTTTTTATGAACGAGCGCTGGTCAAAGAAGCGTGCAGACCGCCAATCCCCGTGCACGGCAAGAACCAAGTGCCGTACACAAGCACGACAAGACGCCAGACGTGTCACACGACATGCCGAAAAGATGGCGTCGTCCATACAGTCACGGCGTCACGTGAACAACAGCGACACCGTGATTGGCCACCGCCTGATCGGATTCCGACATCTTTCCCCATGCGTTGTACAAGATGTTGGACAAGATGGCCGAAATTTGACTTTCGAGATTCCCGGTGCCGAAAAAGCACAGGGGTCAAACTGGTGAGCGAGTTTATACGTGGCTTGCAATGACGTCACATCGGCAGCCATTGTGGTGGCCATTCTGCTGAGCGCGTACCTCCTGCAGCACACATTTCAAATCATAAAACTTAGAGGATGCTTAAGCTTCGCCGTTTAGAGAGGAACGCGATAGACAAACATATAAACCCCCGCTCGTTCATAAGTCACGTGAAATTGTCTCTGAGTGGCCTGGCTCGCAACCGAAGGGTCGCGGGTTCGAATCCCGCCAAACATTCTTCAAATTTTTTGAGGCAAACGAATTACTTTCTAAAGTAAAATCACTTCAGACAAGGCACCTCGGTGACTCTGAGGTAAAGCGCCATGGCATATGAATCCACAGGTGGCGGGTTCTAATTCCGAGAAGTGTTTGAATTCTTAATCTAAGCAGCTCCTGCTTAGATTAAGAATTCAAACACATCTCGGAATAGAGATCAGTTTACAAGAATTCATCATGCAACGCAGAGGGTCTGTAACGTACCTACGGTTCAGTGTCTGAGACCCTCACAACGTTGATTGGAATTAAGAGGAAAGGTGAAAATTATACCAAAGGAAGGCGACCATTTTGGTCCTCAACATTTCCTTCCGATGCTTTCTTAATCTACTGAACAGATTGAACAAAACCGTGTAGCAGATCTGGGCAGCTTGCAAGCACAGTACAGGCTCCCCCAAGATTATGTTTAATAAAATAAATTGGTCGGTGCATACGTGTAGTATGTTTCATAAATTTCCGTAGAACTACGTGTAGGTGGCACAAAAAATGAGGGGGGGGGGGGGGGGGGGTTAACGCTTCGCCGAGTCCCGCTTGAGGGTCGCGTGAACTGCCAGTGCCGCAGAAGAGGCGAGCTCGGCCGCTCGGCCGCTGTACAGAACGATAAGCGAAGACTGTGGAATCACGGCTGCCGGAGTGGCGTCTATCCCCGTTTCAATCAGGCAGGAACACGTCGCGTTTGAAGCGAGCAAGCCAGCAGATAAGAAATTGCTGCAGAAACCACTCTTGTTGCTTGTCTATGATTTGCGAGGCCATTCGTCTAGGAGAACCTCAAAGACGACCTCAGGGACGAAGTCTAGGACGACGTCGAGGATGATGTCCAAGAGGGCGACCTCTAGAATGACCTCTTGGACCACCTCGAGGACAACGTCAAGGACGACGTGAAGGTTGTCAGGTCCGGCGAAGGGTGCGAATGTGAAGGAGTGTGAGAATGTGAGCTGAAATGGTCTACTCACTACGAGGCCAGAAAGTCTAAAAAAATCTGTGAGAGGGGGGGAGGGGGATGTAGCCAAAGGATGCTATCGCATTAAAAGGACGCGCGTGCGCACTGCGCGGTTCTCTGCAGCAGGCACGGTGCGCCGTCAGGGAGCGCGGCGATGCAAATCGGTCGGCGCTCTCGTGTTATCTGTGTGACGCCACTTCCGCGACCAAGTTTTCGTGACATCGATCTCCTAGCTTTGACCCCCTTCCGAAGGAAAAAAAACAAACAAACAACGTAGTAATGCGTCAAAAAAAAAAAAAGATAAACGATGTGCAGTGACATTTTTTTTTATAATGCAATACTTTTCGACGTAAACAGAAACCATAAAACACGCCTTCTGAAAAAATTTTAAAAAATTTTCCACCTCAAAAGGGATAAGAACCCTAATACGGTTCACTCCACTAACATTTCAACCCTAGTCACGAAATGAGGACGGACTTGCGGAACGCTAGGGTCCTTTAGTTTTCTCTTCTCCACGAAGCCGGTAACGTGACCTCAAAGTCTCTCTTGTGGCTGTTTTAACCACCGGTAGAGATAGCGCGTATTCACGAGCAAACGGCCTGTCGAAGACGCATTCCAAGTACTACGGCTGGATCATTGTCTAAACCCCGAGACACTGATAAATAAAATAACAAACAAGACGATTTGGGGCGTCTGTGGTCAATATCGTCACGTGACACCTTAGCGTCATAATCCCGTGACGTCACGGTATCATGTGACCTTGTTTGTCATTTCCATCCTTAATGTCTCAGGGTTCAGATTACAATGTTTCCTAACCACTTCAGTGGCTATTTTAACGCCCTGGAGATATGTAGGCGCATTCAGCAGCAAACCGGCCCTATCCAGGACCCGCTCCGGGCGCCATAGCTGCGATAGCTCACCCGGTTTTCCGTAAATCGTGGTTGTGGTGCCGTTGAGTCTGGCGACGAACACGGGCGGTATACGGACCGGGGTGTTTGCGCTCCCCTTCGTGGCCAGGGTGCCCAGCTCCCTCAGGCCCGGGATGATCTGAAACTGGGCGTCGCGGAACTGGGTGCCCCAGACCATTTCCCTCTGCACCGTCCTCGGCCAGTTCTTGGGGACGCTGATGACCACCTCTTTGAAGTAGAAGTTGCCCCTGGTGGCTTCGAAGAAGAACTGAGAGGCCTTCCTGAATAACACCTGCGTACGCAAGACGAAGGGAAAAAAACGTTGAAAAAGGTAGCAGTCTGGTGTCGATTCACAGTACTGTCAGATCGAACGCGTCGACTCCTTATCGCTCACTAATGTACCATTAAGTGTCTTGCACTTATGTAATTTGCACCTTACTTGAGGGAGAGATCGCCAATGTCAGGCAATGTCTTCCGTCGCCACCAGAAATGCGATCTTCGGGTGACTTTGAAAAAACTTATTCGGTTCGATCAGTACGGTTGATTCCTCTGCATCTTTTTTTTACTTTGAAAGTATTCAAACAGCTAGATGACATGACTACTAGCATAGTCATGTGACGTCACGACTTCATGTGACATCATGACACGTAATGTGAGTCACTGTTCATCTGTATATCAAGCTCACAGTATGAATTAATATAAGGCACGATCTCATCATTTAGAATTAGAATAGAGTCTCACAATTTAGATTATCTAGTAATGCTGCAAGCTATGAACACTCGATATAATTTACACCAGCTCACGTGGCCGCTCGTTCTGGCTGCAAGTTGAGGGATGAAGGCTGCTCGTTTTTTGTTCTTTTTTCGAATTTTTTATTTGACTTCCAGTGCGTATAGAGTGAAAAAAGTAACACGGGTTTTGTAAGTTATGAACGTCGAGGATTCATTCTAAGCGTCATCTACTGAAAGTGCAAACATTGTTGCACCGCTTTTTTAAGAAACATTTACGCATGTGGTTTTCGGTGGCGTCGTATAGAGGAGCTTAGAGGGGCGATGCGAAAAGTTTTTATACTTTTAGTAACTACCGCTTCGAATTATTTCTTTACATTTGTACCCTGTCAAATAAGAGTTAGCCTTTTCTGGGGCAATCGCAGTTGCAGACAAAATGCGGAAAAATTTGCAGCTTTCACGTTTCCTCGACTCGCAGTCAGAAGAAGTGGTCGCATAATCTGGAGCCGATTATTTTGCATCTAACGTTTATCATAGCCACGCGCAGGGGTTGGCAACACATATGACACGCATTAAGCTCTATCAATTGTTAATTGCGAGGTTATCCCCGCCATCCCAGCGATGTGGCACCCGAATGTCGAAGCACTGATTGTCCCCGAGCCCAGATCCAATTCTCACGCTCTAGTCGCGTCCACAGCATGTTCCGAATTTAAATGCACTCACCGTGAGGATCGCAAAGCTGGATAACTAAACCCTGGGGATCGGACATTTGACGACGTCAACAATGCGATTCCCACAACTTTGTCATCAAGTTTTGGTGAAGGAGAGACTGAAGGAACAGAAGCGTCGGTTCCTCCGAGGCAAGGCGCCGTCCCACGGCCACCTAGTTGGCGGGTTCGGATCCTTGCTCGAGGTGCCCGCAGTCCGTCGGTGGCTTATTGCGGAGAAGGCGCCGTGCAATCGAGATTTCGGTTGCACGTCAAAAGGTCCCCCGAAGGTCGATATTAATTCCCAGTCCTCGAATGGAACGTGCCAAATGCCCCTCGTTGGTTTGACCATAGCCTCCAATATACCGACAAAGCCTGGCAGATCGCCACGAGAAGCGGCCGCCGAAATGAGAAGGTGGAGCGGCAGACAACGGATGAAAGGAGAGCCACGTGACTGGCGCCCCGCTGCGGCGAGACGCCGAAACACTTTCAAGCGAACAAATGTATTTCGGGTCCTCGCCGTTGCAAAAGCTGTGCGCTGACGTCAAGGTTCCCCAAGAAATGGTTCTTTGATGCTCTGTGCTGCCAGATCCTCCCGCTCCAAATGTGCAACCGTGCACTCTCTGGCGCCATCGTTGACTGCCAGGCTTTGTGAGTAGAAGAGGCTATGGTTTAACACGTAACCCCTCCCCCCACCCCACACACACATACACGCTAACAAGTACACATATTTAGACTGATGAAGAACGTCCGCTCTTATCCTTCGTCAGTGGCTTTGCATACCAATATCCTTGGGTCCATGAACAAGTGCCAGAGTGCTTGTGTAAAGCGAGAAACTTTATCAGCCAATATTGTTGTTACACGGCTCCTTTAAACACCGGTGGAATGTTTGACGTACCCTCAGGTTGTTAAGGATGTCGATGTCGACGTTCACACTCCTGTCAATACCGACGAGGACATTCATGTAGCCACCGTCGCTTTGGTCCAGATGAATGGTGGTGCACGACGACACCATCACTGCCAGCACCAGGAATGGCAGGGCGTTCGTCATCCTCTGGAAGATTTATTTACTCATCACAGCCTAAATAGCACTTGTTGCCTACTCTAAAATCAATACCCTAGAAGATAAGGCCTGCATCTGACGTTGTCGTTAGTGTATCCCCAAGCCGCTCTAAGCGGCAAATGTAGTGTATATCTTGACGAGAGTGCTCCGCGAACAGGGGGCCTCATTCCGCGAACACGCCCCCAATTTTTTTTTTCTTTATGTATATTGTCATTCCACGCCAAACGATCCAGCCCCTAAATCGACCATCACGGATTTGGTTTTAAAAAATTGCAGGCACTTAAATCGACGTAAAAGTAATCTTCCCAATATATTTTTGCAGTAAAATTCTTTTTGCTCCTTTGGCGACCCCTTGATTACCCCGAACAACTCAGCTTCAGGGGCTATATACGGCATTTCTTTTCCTGGCAGTTTTGAAAGTAGGCTGTAAAATAACACTGTTTTTAGTAACTAAATAGGTCCCTCTAAATACCCAAATAGTTACTTGCATGTAATTTCAACCTTTTCTTGCAATTCCGGGGCACTATAAATAGCCTAAAATGCCGATATTCACCTTTTTTTCCTCGGAAAAGGGCAAAATTCTCAGGCATAAATTTTACTTGTATTAATAGCTCTTAGATTGAAGTTCATTATAAAAATATTTTTCTGATAATATTTGTTGCGGTGTTTTGACGAAAAGATCATCAATCTGGAAAATAGCGCAAAAAGAGCAAATTTCACTTAAGAATAACGTTGTGAGGTGGTCGGTCTAAAAATATATTGTCAACGGCAATGCGTCATTTAGAACCCAGACATCAAATAAGCAATGTTAGAAAAAAGTGTTATTTCTTAAACGCGAAAAAATAATTTTTCGATTTCGGTCGCCGCACCGTCGCGTGCCTGTCTAGAGACGTCGAACAGGGGCGTACTGCAGCGGCGACGCCGCCGGGCAACAGAGCAGACGGGTTCGCTACGCGAGCGCGCAAAGCAGACGGGTTCGCTACTCAAGCGCGCAAAGCTGACGGGTTCGCTAAATAGGCGTGCAGCGCAGACAGCAGAGTTTAAAAGTGGTTTTGGCATCGTCTACTAATCGCCCAGCGGCGTGGGTTCATATGTAATGGGTGTAAAGTGAACAAACCTTTTCCCATGGAACCTAATAACGCAGGTAATCTGGCTTCCACGGATCATGCCAGGGAATCTCAAGGTCGGTTTCAGACAATATTTTCTACTAGTTATTGCTTTTAAACGGTCTAAAAGCGAGGTTTTAGCCTCGTACTTGTTACAGTAATTCCAGAAACGCAGGTGAAATTCTGTTATTTGAGTGCACTGAGCAAACAATGCATCTTTTTTCAGAAGACCATCTTGTGCCATGTTCATTGGGGCCAAAAGAGTGCCATAAAACGACGCAAGTCAACAGGAAGTTTCTCGTTATAATTTCAACTGTGAGAGAAAGAGAACAACGCCTTTTGGCTCTGCGTGCAAACAAAAACGACGACGCGCTCGACACAATATGCGCTCGTCATTATCCTACTTACGTAAAGAAGTATACCACACTTCTGGCTTCCAAGTTCTGTATGGACCCGTTCCTTGAACGCACCAGGAGCCGGCGTGAGACATCAGTTATATCAATAGAGCTTGCGATAGCTCTACCGTCATTGAAGCTTGTTCCTGGAGAAAGGTTGTGTCCCGGGTGCAAAGTTCGCTGCTTTCAAATGGACGTGAGGTTCAAGCAGACTACTGACACGCTTATTGAAGAGATGACCTCCTCTGAAATTAGCGACCAGGAAGAAGCATTCCCCTCATCGTTGAGTCTCAAATTTTCAGCAGTTGGGGAAATTCCCCTGTTCATGGGGCAGAAGTACGGACAAACAAATACGGATATGCAAACGACGCTGGACAGTCGAAGCCGGAATGTCAGTAACCCGACCAACACTGCGGACGTTAACGTCTCGTCGTCATTTATACCAACACCTAGTTATGAGTTTCGGACAGACGACTACAGACGGCTCATGGAAGTCGTCAAGAAGCGCTTTGGCGAAGAAAAAGACCGATCAAAAAAGATTTCGCTTTTGACCCTGGCCCCGAGCTCGCGGTCGCGAAAACTGATCGCGCAGTATTTTGGTGCCTCTGAAAGACAGGTTCGCCTTGTTATGTCAATTAAGAAATAGAAGGGCATCTTGAGTTGCTCAACCAAAAGGGTGAACAGACCAATAGACGATTCCACTAAAAGCTCTGTCAAAATTTTATGAAGACGAACTTGTTTCCATCTGCCTTCAAGGCAGAAAAGACGTCGTTCGTGGGAGCCAAAAACGATTGCTTTTAATGAACCTGAAGGAAGCATATGAGGAATGAAAGAAGAGCAACAACGGAGTGAAATGCGGATTCTCAAAGTTCGCTGCTTTACGGCCGAAGCACCGTCTGCTTGCTGGAGCTTCAGGAACGCACTCAGTCTGCGTTTGCCTTTATCACCAGAATCGATCTGGATGAGCATCGTACCGGCGTGCGGTCGTGTATCACTACTGCGTGATGCACGTTAAAGACCCCAGGCTAGCGGTTGTACTGCACTGGCTAAATTGCTCATCTACAGCTGGGAGACTCGTCGCCCCTGTGAGGCAGACCAAGTTCTAGGCTGTATAAACACACACACAACCCAATTTTTTTTATCACCAGAACCTGATGTTACTTCTTCACTCATCAGGTCTGGAACACACAGTCGATTCTTTGGTTGTAATGACAGTGTGTGACTTAAACAATGAAGACTGCATGCTTGGCAGGCGTAAGCAACGCCCAGGCACTACGCACGTCGCTTATGAACTCCGCAGCCCTTGACCCCGACTTAGTGAGCAACGTTACCGTCTGTCAATGGGTCAATGGAGCACGGTGCAAACTCGAAACGATAGTTCTCACGCCAGAAAAATTGTCCGAGCGGTTATAGAGATGCTGAAAGAACTAAAGACGCATCACTTCGTGAGGAAGGTTCAGGCGCGTCATCTACGCGACTTAAAATGCGCCTTATGCCAACAGAAGCAATTGTGCTGTTAGATTTTGCTGAAAACTACAATTTTCTTGTTCAGGACGCTCCACAATCATATCATTGGGACAATACCCAAGCTACAGTTCATCCCGTCGTCGTTTATTTTCGTCCACCAGATCGTCGTGACGAGCTCCACGTCATATCATACGCAATGATATCGGACTGTTTGGACCATACCACTGCAACGGTGTCGATTTTCCAGAAAATGTTCCTGGATGACTTGAAAGCCCAACTGCTTCACGTAGAACACGTTCATTACTTCTCGGACGGTGCGGCGTCTCAATACAAAAACAAAAAGAACTTTGTAAACCTCTGTCATCACGTGGAAGACTACAACCTCACTGCAACATGGAACTTTTTTGCCACATCGTATGGAAAAAGTGCCTGCGATGGAGTGGGCGGAACTGTGAAAAGACTGACAGCGAAGTCAAGCCTACAAAGACCATTCAGCGGACAAATTTTAACACCACTAAATCCCTTTAACTGGGCACGCGACAACCTGACACAAATTCGAGTGATCTGGGTGCCGGAAAGTGATGTTCAGGTGCATCGAGAGATGTTATTATCCCGGTTCAATGTCGCTCTACCTATCCGCGGGACTAGAGGACTCCATTACTTCGAGCCAACCTCATTGACCGAAATGAACGTCGGCTTTACTTCTCTTTCAAGAACAATAAACGTCACGACAGCTTCACGTCCTCAAATTGATTGCGTCTGAGAAGGTTAGATAGAGCAAGTGTTCCGAAGACTCCCTACTAATCATCAGCTTGAGTGCCCGCCTTGGGGCCGACAAGCTGAGTTGGCCCGGATTTCAAAAATTATTTTTTCGCGTTTAAAAAATAACACTTTTTTCTAACATTGTTTATTTGATGTCTGGGTTCTAAATGACGTATTGCCGTTGACAATACATGTTTAGAGCGACCACCTCACACCGTTATTCTTAAGTAAAAGTTGCTCTCTTTGCGCTATTTTCAAGATTTGCGATTTTTTCGTCGAAACACCGCAACAAATATTATACGAAAACTATTTTTAGAATGAACTTCAATCTAAGTGCTATCAATACAAGTGAAATTTATGGCTGATAATTTTGCCCTTTTACGAGGAAAAAAAGGTGAATATCAGCATTTTAGGTTATTTTCAGTACCATGGAAATACAAGAAAAGGTTGAAATTACATGCAAGTAACTATTTGCTATTTAGAGGGACCTATTTAGTTACTAAAAACAGTGTTATTTTACAGCCTACTTTCAAAACTGCCAGGGAAAAAAATGTCGTATATAGCCCCTGAAGCCAGTTGTTCGGGGTAATCAAGGCGTCGCCAAAGGAGCAAAAAAAATTTTACTGCAAAGATATGTTGGGAAAATTACTTTTACGTCGATTTAAGTGCCTACAATTTTTTAAAACCAAATCCGTGATGGTCGATTTAGGGGCTGAATCGTTTGGCGTGGAATGACCCTATAGCAATTCAATTTTTAATGGTGTCAGGACACTAGTCAATCAATATTTTGCTGCAGAGTAACATATCTTTTTTTAATAAAACCAGAAAGCCCGCTGCTTCAAAAGGGAAACCGAAAACGGAGCACGGCGATTCATGGCCGACTACTCGTACCGAGGAGGAGGGGGAAATGTGAAGGGGGAGGAGAGAGTTGCCGGAAGTCACGTGGCTCTCGCTCTCTACCAGTTTGTTGTTGTTGTTTTCCGCTCCTCCGCTTCTCTGGCGTGTAAAGTAGACGGCGTCGACGATGAAGTCGATTGTACCGTTTTTCGTGCAATTGTTTCGAACTTATGTCCCCTCAGCTCGCTGTTCTGCGCTTGAAGATCGATTGACCGGAACCACGAAACGAACGACAGTTCCGAAGTAGCCTTCCCACGTCCGTCGCAACGTTGGTCTGTCGTGCGCAGCCGTCGCGTTGTCCAGCCCGCTGTACGTCGCCATATTGAGAATGACGTAGTACATGCATACTTCCTGTCATATGTGCAACTTTTTTTATTATTAACGAATTTGCAGTTTTTGGAAGCCACAAAAATCGGGTTCATGTACTTGTTCGGTCTATGTATTGGATATGTGCCTTAGATGACCCACGACTTTGAATAGATTTGGTACACTATATTTTAACGACACGTGACCATGGAACAGAGATTGAGCGCGCCCGAAACCGGCCAATTTTCGACCGGTGGTTTTCGGGGGGAAAGAAAACGAATTTTGAACCGCAAATTGTGTTTTCGCTATTTGGGCTCTTATAGGTCATGCTCATATAAAAACCTCGGCGAGCAGAAGCAACCCTGTCAGTGTCCCTTTAAAGAGAGAAACAGAATGCGGCAAATCGTAAGCGCTGACATCCGGGTCACGCGGGAAAGAACGAGAAAGGGAGCGACAGCAAAGCGGAGTAAAAAGCAGACGGTGGTAGGTCAGGCGTGTTCGCTATGCTGCAACGAGTGAAAGTTATTCGAGTGCTTGTCAAATTTATTTATTTTTATACAATCCGCGACACCGAAATGCTTTGTAAATAAAACAAGAAAACAAAACAGAAAAAGGCCACAACAACAGAGACAGACCTCGCAAGTCGAAACGTCGCCAGAAGTGTAACCCCATCGGGGCCATATATCTCCTTGTCCATGCCGTGCCGTTCCAAAGCGTTCGAAGTGCATGGGACCATTCCCTTTAGATTATCACATTAGCTCTATGACCGCAAGCGGTAAATACGAGTGTCTGACGTCGCCCCGTTATAGCGTCGCGTTCATTATTTGAGACACTGCAAGACAAGCTGGCGGCGTCGTTGACGGTAGTCACAGACGCTGCGTGGACCCACCGGTGCTGACGTTTACGTGGGAGAGCTGGAGGCATTGCTTTTTCAGGTGATGTTGCTTTGCTTGGGTCTGTTATACAACGAGTTACAACAATCCGCCGAGAGCTCAGTGTTGGGCCAAATACAGCGCTGGTGGTTCGTACCAGATGCCTAACACTCACAGCCTGCCTTTATCGGATTCAAAAGTCACTAGCAAAATTTGAAAGCTTTATATGAAAATGAGGCCCGTCTCCGCGCTAGCCGACGCCATTCATTTCGATGTATTCTTCAGTTTCGTCGACCGCCATTTTCTCCTCGGACATTTCTGAAAATCGCCTATAGCTTTTGGAACCTGGGAACGGCAATTTGTGAAACTCTGATCTAGTTCTAACCGCTAGAGGCACATTTTGCCAGAGGCCGAGCGTTGAACAATGCGTAGTTGATATTTGGTGTGAAAAGCACACAGTCAATCCACCTATTTTAAAATCATGGTACCAGAGGTTAAAACAGGTTTTCGCATTCTATATGGATTCACGAGCGACCATGACAGGCTTTCAAGCGGGAAGCTCGTGCCAACGATCGTGGTGTACACGCGTGCTCCCTCAGTTTAAATATCTTTGGGATAAAAAAAAAGATTTTATTTTTACAGGGATGTCCGGTGGTTCCGTGTGTTACAAGCTGCGGGCGAAGGCATGACTGGGCGAGTGGACTTCTGTGGTCAGCATATGGATGGGCCATGCATAGCAGAATAACGAGAGCAAGGGTTGAACTTGAAGAGCGTGAAGCTAGGAATAAGTGATAACCAGCATTTTGAACCGCATTTCAAAACCCCAGAAGGTCGTTTAAAAAGAAAGTAATAAAGGCCAAGTGACGACTCAAGGTCTGCAGGACCTTGAGTTCCGCGTCCCTCTGCAATTCCCTGAGCACGCAGAAAATCCAAGTGTTCATTTGTGAACAAGAATCAGCTTACGTTCCTGGGGCTGGGAGTCGAGATGACCACGGTTCTGTCAAACAGCAGATTAGAACAGCCCTGAACGAGCCGCCTCGAGACGATATGTGGAGCGTGCGCCCATGCCATTCTGCTGCACGCCACTGGCGCCCCCCGGCAAAATCCTGCAGTCTTCTTTTTTGTCATCCCGTCGGTAATAAGATATTCAAATTAATGACACTTGTTGTTTCCGAAAGTTTTTTGGGGGAACTTATCCCAAAAGGAAACTGGAAAATAATCGGAATAGTAAGATCATGTTTTTTTGTTGTTGTTGTTATTGTTTTATAATTCTTATCTTGTTCGTGTGTAGACCCTTTTGCTCCGCGCCAGACTTGATCCGCCCACTACGGACCTTCGTTTACTTTTTACTAAATTACAAATAGCGCTAGGACAAGGACAGACGAAGAAGTGGACAGGACATGCGCTACTTCTTCCTCATCTTTGTCTGTCCTCGTCCTAGTGCTATTTGTAATTTAGTATGTATAACCAACTAGCCCGCCAGATTATTTTGATTCTTTTGCCTCACCAGATGCCCAACCACAAATATAGCTCGAGCGCAACTTTTAGCGATGGTGGTACCGCAGTGTAAGAATCAAGCTCCATATAGCCCCTGCTGGGTGGTAGGCTTCAGAATGAAGGTACATGCTTCAAGGGATACTTCAACAAAATTTGAAATACATACGTCGTGCTCAAAAATAGGTTGTATATGATCCACATTATCCGTAAGTGACAATCGTACGTTTGTATTTTGAGCCTGTTGGCTGTATTTTTTGTTATAAACGGCCCACTCTGGCAAGCGCTCGAAGAAGGCCCAGCTTAGAGCACGTGGCAATCGACGCAATCGTGACGTAGTTCGTCTCGGGACGAGCAAAGCTACGGCGAGGCTGACGTCGAGAGGATGGCCTAATCGTTCCAGCCACCGAAGTGGCGGCTTTTGTACGAATTTTGAGAGACAGGTTAATCTTCTATAATCTTGTAGGGGGACAATAGTGACTTCTCGGTCAAACAAAAGGGATTCTCGTTAAGAGGGAAGTTCCTCCTTCCCCTCTTCTCTCGTCGTGGCCGGAGGCGAGACAGTTACCGTCACTACCAGTCAAGGTTCCTTGACGGGAATTACAAACGAGGCGTTAGCGACATCCACCAGGTGCTCTTTGCTAATCGTTTAATTCGTTTTAAAATTTCTTTTCGTGTCTTTTTCAACAAGATATTAGTGTGTCCGACGTGATACTGCTCCTTTGAACACATATAGACCATAAAATAAGCGTCGAAATTTCGTTGTAGTATTCTTTTAACACCTTCCTGACGTGGAAGTGTGAAGTAAGACTCAGATTTCAAAAATTAGAATTACGTATACTCGTCGCGGACCCATCATATTTATGCAGCTGTTTTACGACGGTGCATCCAGATGACAGCCATTTTGATAGTAACCAGTGCACCCTATGTTTAATCGTGAAAGTCGCGAATTGTTTTATCTCCCTCTTCACCAGCCCTACACACCGTAGACTCCATCTTGGTGTCAAATCATTAGTCGTAGGTCAGCGCTCGCAGATCCCCCGCTCACGTCTCGAGCACAATACGGCTGCCCAGACTAACTTAATGAAGTCGAATTTCAGTCGACAAATGTACATATTGTTCCCTGTAGATCACCTACGTTGGCTTCGCTTGGAACGCGTGACAAAACCGCGTGACAAAACCAATTATATTGAGGCGATGTTCCTTTTCAGGGTCACAGCAAGTTCACGTAGCTTTATTCGTTTGAAACCTATTCCTGGTGAAAGAGTTTGTCGTAGACGCATTTCTGCGAAGAGAAGAAGAAAAACAAAAGTCATGGTGTGTTTTAAAATATTTAGGAGACTGGTCTCTACAGGAGCCACTGAATGAGCTATATACCCATATAGAGTATCGACACTCCGTTCCTCGATCTGCTAGTGGGCTCCGCCATCTTGGTGCTAAGAGCACAGCAGACACATCTGTCGATTGTCACAATCCGAAAATGTGACTTCCTCAGCTTTAGGTACGGTGGTAGGAAGCTCAGGTGATATCGTTTTGCTCTGTCACGAACCTTTCTAACATTTCTAGAGGATGGAAAAACCGTTTCCTGCATTTTCACTTAAACTTTCAGATAACTGGGAACCATGATTTTAAGTACTAAGATGACTGAAGTGTGGTTACTCTGAAGTCTAGCTTATTTAGTGGCTCTCGTCTCTACAAGACGTGCACCCCCAGACAGTATGAGCTAAAACACCTGATCTGGCAGTTTGCTGCGCCTTTCCCACAAGCTGCATTATCCAAAAATGTCAACGAATTGAAAAATTGAGACCAAGCATCGCATTCAAAGTCGAGTTTGAACGATATATCTGCTTTTAAAAACGGGCGGAAAAGCTCATTTTGAACGCGGTAGTATATTATCGGTGCTTAAATTACCTTCTTTTTTTTTTTTCTTTTTATGTCCAGTTCATTATTTTGATTTACCCAAACTGGTTGCCCGTTGCTATTCAAGCTGTTTATGGGGGGAAAATGCGTGTCGGGGCTTACTATTTAGCTTATAAATGAATCCACAAAGCATATCGCCTAGGATTTTGAATCTATAAGATTTGCAGCTAGTCATTTCTTTATAAAAACGTATTCTCAATTGTTCTTTCCAATCATGATAGTTTCATTTTTTTCGGTTTTATTTCGTGGATTGATGTTGGTAGAACCTACGTTTCAGGTTCGATAACATCTGTTCTCATGCTCAACCGATTCTGCGCAGGAATAATCGATGTTGAAAATTTTCGGCTGCAAGCGCGTTAGTAGTTAGTTTTCCTATATAGCGAAGCAAACCGAAAAAAAAAGAGTGCAAATGCTTTAACGATGTTTAACGTCTGACCACTTACCCCAGCTTCCACAAACTTTTCCCTGTCTTCGGCTGTCATTTCGCTTGATTTCTGAGGGTATAAGTGAAAGAAACTCCTTTGTTAAATGTACGCAACACTAAAAAAAAAAAAAAAATACTGTCTTGTATTTGTGGGCAAATATGTCAGAACCTCTACACTTCCATTCATTTTCAACGTTTCCTCGGATTTGCAGGGAGTTCTTTCTTAAAGTCACCCAAAAAAATGTGAGCTTAATAGTATGAACAGAGATCGCACGACGTGATACTGTGAGCGGGCAATTTAGTGTTAAACAATGCCACCGGCATCAGACGTAGAAAAAAAAAATCCCGATAAACTTAAGGTGCACATATTTATACCATTGCACATTGATCGTAGGTGACCGAAAATACAAATGAATCCCTGCGGGAATCAGCGTCCTTAAGTCACCATATAATTTTTAAAGTCAAACTTGCTTTCTTTTTCTTTTTAGGAGCCTAGTCAAAGGCTTAAATCAAGAAGTTACAGGTAATGGCAATCTTTTTTATTTATTTTTTGCGTTTGATTAGATTGGCCGGCAATAACACACACAGGTAAACCCGAAAGAAGGTATGAATGCGCTTTCAGCACTGCTTGTCTAAGAAACTATAGCTGCCTGAAGGGAAAAAAAAAAGAAGAAAAGCTACGTAAGCAGTTATTTTTTTTATCGCCGCCACGAATTATGATGTAACTTCATGTCTGTTGTTATTATTATTATTATTATTATTATTATTATTATTATTATTATTATTATTATTATTATTATTATTATTATTATTATTATTATTATTATTATTATTATTATTATTTCTCAATATTAGGCACGCTAACAATTCTTTTTGATGCATTTGAATTTGTAAAGAAAAGTTGTATCACGCATATTTTATTTATGTCTAATTCTAATAAAACCATACATTACCACAAAGACGTCTTCTTTTTCTAGAAAACACGCTTTCAGCTGAAATAAAAATAAAAAAAAAACTTCCTATTATAGCCGTAATTTCGTATAAGTATTCTGTCCTGCAATGCACAGTGAATACCAAAGCGCCCACCTTAAAATCAAACTAGCCAATGAGAAGGGAGAGGAGGGATTGGACTATTGGTGAGAAGGGGGCTCACTAATAGTCCAATAGTCTCAGGGGAGAAATGGCGTCCTGTATTTTCAACAATGAGATTGCACGGTCATTTGAGCATATCTATCGCTTTTCTCATTGGCTAGGCTGAAGAAATGAATATCAATGACTTGTGTTTCACGTGCATTGCGTTGAAGATTTAGTCACATATTTCTGCGAAAGTGGATGATAAAATTTCAAACATTGTTTTAAAACGACTCCACAAATTTTTAACACCGCTTGGCTGGCACGACTACTACTAGACTATTTTAACGACAACGAGCTGAGGCAGATTTAAACATTTTGCTCGCTAAACGACTGTTGGCTCAGAAAAGCAGCTCTTGTACTACGTTTACTGGACATCAAACCTGTCTAGAGCGCTCCGGACTGCACGTGCGACATCTGCCGGCGGACACTGGGACCAAGATGGCGCGCCTCTGAGATGCATGCGCCTCCATTGTGCAGCGCTGAGCAGATGCCAACGTTTGTGCTGATCCTTCTGCCGACTCCGCCGGGGATCGAGCAGGCCGCGAAATCAACGCGTTCGAACTTCGGTGTGACAGTGCACGCGCCGCCAGCTCCGCATTGTCGCTCGTTGTGATAGGAATTCAGCCGCTAAACTCGCGCGCTTGCTTCCATGGAGGATGGCAAGCCTGAAAGTCGCTCAAGGCGGTCTCATATTCTACGGGACACATCATGCTTCAGCATAAAAAAAAAAAATTAAAATTAATTTCTCTCGAAATTATTTTTTTAAGTTTATTACAATTTTTTTGTCTAAATTAAAAACAGCTGAATAAAAAATGTTCGAATGAAAATCCAAATGTCTTGCGACACGCTATATATCAGAAGATTCCTTCACACATCAAATATTTCAATTGGTACCGTTATTCCGAGCTCGGTGCTGCTTGTGCCAGCAGACGGAAGCTTTAAGGCACGGACTAATTTTAGTGTCCGAGCAACATTCATTACCGTGGAATCACAAGCCGCGGTTGTGTTTTCATTGTGAAAGCAATCTATCGACAGTGCAGATATAACAAGCACTTAAATTGGTAGCGCTGAGGATGCATTACACGCAAACAAACAAAAATGCGTAGCCTCAAGCGCGCACCATGAGCTGTTTCGCGCGAGTACGGAAGCAAGCGCGCGAGTTCGGCGGCTCAATTCCTATGAGAAGAACGCGCAATAATGCGGAGTCAGCGGCGCGTAGGCCGCCACACCGAGCACCTTGATACAGCGCGCTGCACAATGGCGGCGCATGCTCAGAGGCGCTCTATCTCGGGCCCAGCGTCCGCCGACAGATGTCGCACGCGCAGTCCGGAGCGCACCATTCCGGAACTTTAGACAGGTTTAACGCCGACTGTACTGCTTTGTTTTAGTACGAAACCCTTACATACCTTTCTTAGGGGACAACATGTGAACTTTCTACATCACGACGAAAAATCGAGTTCATTCTCTGGTTATGCCCGTCATCGGCTAAGAACCTGCGAACTTTGTATGAGAAGATAATCCGTAATGTCCGAAAGATAAGATCAACCGCAATGGAACCAAAAGATAAGAAACCGCGGTAAGAAATTGCAATGGGTTCGGGGCGCATTGTCTGGCGTCGACTTTAATGCCCTCTTTCCAGCCATAAGTTGACCCTTATGAACAATCGGAGAGCATGCTATCAAATTACTCGATATAACCCACGTTGTTACCAAGGTAGATCGTGCTGCCTTCGGAGGCAGTATTTGCTCTGGAAAAAGGAACCCGCCGTTCTGAGCAATTTTGTCTGAGATGTTACACTCGAGTCAAAAAGAAACCACGCGTATATGCCATGAAAGTAGCTACAACGATAAATGGGGTTTACTTACGGCAGTTATTCTCTCGGTGTAATCAGCAACTGTGGAAGTCTCTGCTATGCAAGCTTCGGTCGTAGGAATGATGCCGTTTATTAGCTGGAAGAAAAGTTGCTAAGTTCCTGGAGTGTCGCAAACAATTTAAAAACGTTTAATAGTACTAGTAGCATGTTGAAGTTTCATATCTCGCCCCTCTCAATAAGCATTCTACTGAATTATTAGGGCCACAAGGTTCTGGACGGCCTTGGTATACGCGCTGCGTGTGATCGCCTTGTATGTAGTAAAGATTCGAACTAAATGACTAACAAGAAGCGATAACAAATACACGGGAAAATGTGATTGATTTTAGGTTTAAAATAAATCGCACAGTGATATTTTATATTCATGTGCCTAAATTTAAAATAGCACTTCCACAGACGCGCATGTGCAGCACGTGTAACTGCCATATCAGCATGCTTCCTTAGGATCCAATAATTTAGCAAAATGCCTACTACCTGTTAAATCTCACGAAGAGGGAAACAGTATACGTGGGCCTTGTACTGGAAATGCAGCGCAATTTCGCCTTTATTTTTCTGACCAAGCGGAAACAATTATAGGAATCTATTCATGATTTCAATGTTTACAAATCAACAACGCAGCGTGCGATCTCCAAAGTCCAACACGCTTTCTGAAGCCACATTCGTGGCTTTAGAAAGTGAGCAAAGAACGCGCCATTTGCACAAACACTGAAGATGGCATCGGCCGGAAACCCTCTACTTGAATGATTCATAAAGTATGCTGACCACGCCATCAGATAGAGTTTCACCTGAGCATAAACACTCTGCTCACGTTTATCAGAATCGATCTAGTTGAGGACTTCTCAATAGGCCTCCTGCTTTGCCCAGGAGGCGCTGCAGAAAAACCGGCTGGCAACGCCCCCTACACTGTTAGCGAAAATGTAATATTTCGCCTGTTTACACCCCATTTTCACTCGTTAGCATATTTTTACACGCTCTGCTAGTGATAAATCGTCAAAAAATTACTTGGGGTAGTAGAAATTGGTGTTTCGGTTTCGGTTTACACGACTAGGCGTGTAAGCAACACTGAAAACACCCCAGCCCAACACCCCAAAACGTCGAGCGCCATGTTGCTTCTGCCTTGAAGCGGTACGGCGGACGTAGCAGCCGAAGGTGAGTGTTTGATTTTTTTTTTATCAAGTTTGTATAGAATGTAGCACGTCTCAGATTTTTATTACATGACATTCAAGAACTTTAGATTTGCTTTGAGCAAGCCGGCTCAGGCGTTAAGCCCGATTCACACAACCGGCGTTTAGCCACCCCGTCGATTGGAAACGACTCGACTGCTCGCCGGTTCTTTTGCGCGAGCTTTCGCTCGGGCGCTGTGAACCCTATGAACTGTGGTGCTCAAAGCTAGCACAATTAGGCACGGCTAGCGTCCCGGTGGAAGCTGCAGAGAGCGGAAACCGAAGACACCGTCGCATAAGAGTGGCGAAGCCGCGATCCTGCGCTGATCGTTGTCCCGCCGCTCTCTCCGGCAATATCGACACTTCGCTGCTGGGTGTCTCGTATTTCGACGTTTTACAGAAACTTGGCATTGGCAAGCGCGAGGAGTCTCTATATCGTTTTCTCCGTCGCCTGCGTGGAGGAAACACGGTGGCGATAGAAACATATGCTCATGCAGTCAGTCAACTTGGACAATCCCCCTGTTCCCTCAATCCTATCGCATTCTTTGACTGCGTTTGTGACAACAACGTTTCCCCAGTGTGAAAGCTTTCAGTCACAACGGGCTACAAACTGGGTTGTGCATTGCATGTAGCCCTGAGGGAATTCTTCGCCGGAGACACCAGCACATTAGTTTCATTGGTAAGGTGACCGGCCACTAACGTGTTTGGCAAATGAAGCGATCACGGGTAAGTAGAAATGCAAACAATGTTGAATGAATATTAAGGTGGTTGTAGCCAGAGCCTGCCAGTTGAAATCAACCTTTAACAATATAGTCTGCGGTAACTTCTTTTTGCACTTGGGATTGCAATTTTAAACACAAAGCCACTCCACATAGCTGTCGAAAATCGTGTAAACAACAGCAGTCATCGTCCCCGGTTCGGATGAGCGAAGCCTTAGCTTGATGAAAAGAATGGCGGTCTATACTTCTTGGTTGTTTCAATCACAACCTCACACAGCTGAACAGACAAACAAATCATGAAATATATCCCGCGCTGGCTTGCAAATCACAGCACACAAGCAGGGTACATAGCAGAGCAGAAAACACTGGCAATGAGCACACGGAGGCATGCAGCTTCCTTTCTTTTTCCCTCGGCGAATGATTGGTTTGCTGCAGCATTCCGTAAGCACGTCGACATTCAAAAGTTGAGCCTGATCTGTCTTGCAGTGCCTTGCGGAACGGCAAGTATCGCCCACCATTCCACAAGGCACTGCAGGACTCGCAAATGTGTGAACAGTGCTTTGCAATAAAGGCCATGATCGGGCAGCAGGTGCCCATCTAAAGACATTTAATATTGATTGGCATTGAACTAACCTTTGGGCTTCATCACGTAGCAAGCATGGGTGAGGTATAATTCAAGAACATTTAATGTTCGACGAGTTTAATACATTGTGGTGCTTTCCCATCTGTTTCGGTGTCACGGAGTGGGGTTCAAATTAATAAAAATAATTCAATGATCCACCCTGAGAATAAACGAGAAATTACGGGAAAAGAACAAGAGAGCTAAGTTCGACCATTGACTAGCGCTAGGTCCACGCCTGGTGTATAATCAGTAGAGAAAGATGATGACACAGGGAGGATAAGCAAACAAAAGATTAGATTTAATAAAGTGAAAAACTAAGCTGTACACGGCAATAGAGCACTCAACACAAACCACACTCCAGCTCAAAGCTATGGAGCCCTGCGAGCCAGAAACTAATACTAAAAAGACTCGACGCTCATAAAACCGGAATAAGCCAACAAAACAGTGACGAAAACCCTACACTAACAACGAGAGCAAACCGAGATGGAGCTCGAACGTTACCGCTACACACATGGGATAATCCCCCAAAACAGTCGCGACAGAAAGTAGCACTGTGTAAAAATCTTCCCAACATTCAACAATTCGTACTTCAGAGCCAGAGAATGCAGTAGACAAGTCCTAGAAAACCAGGCTTAGCTTTCCGGTAGGTGCCGAGTCCAGAGCAGTCCGTAGTCTGGAGTTGTCGGCCGAAGAACGGCGTCTCGAAGTCCAGCGGTCCAATTAGAGGCTTGATGAGGTCGACACCGCGCACCACACAGCCACACACGCTTCAGCACAACAAACTCAAACACTTGTCCGACAGGCAGGGCAGAAGCCAAAAATTACACGTTCCAAGACTCATCTGCAGGGAGTAACCACGTTGAGTAGCGACCCGGCCAGCTCTGGGGTTGGACTACCTTCTTTGTTCCCGAACCCCCTTTTATAGGCTCGTCTACCGACCAACCTCCCGTTTCCCCGCCTTTCGGGTCAGTCAACTTTCAAGAAAAACAAAGCTACACAGCAACGACCCAAATGGCAAAATTTATTACATTTTTCAGACAACCAAACATATGTGCCCATCCATTCCCCCGTACGAGTCCAAAAACATCAATTATCGCCGATACATAGAACACGACAGGCGGCAGACTGAGCAAAGCCGCCGCCTTCAAAAAGCGTGCTAGCCAGCGTAAACATCTTTGTATCCCGGCGGCGCCCCTGCATGTCAAATCGGCACCATACGCGAGCCAGCATACGCACCCCTCCGTCCGCGAGGTCAAAGCCACAAACTGTGACCTGGGATGATCTACGTCGCCCGTTAACAAAAACCCATTCCGCAAACGAGCAAATTCGTTGGGGACTTAGAAAGGAACTACGACGGGACGAACTGAGATTAAAAGTGGCACCACACTCCCCCTTTTTGACCGTACCAACACTTAAAGTGGTCCAAAAAAAAGATCATAAAAGTATTTAAAAAAATGAAGAGAAGCCCGAATTTGTGACACCCGGTTTCTCCATCCTGTGTTTTTTTTGTGCTTTTTCTATTACGAAGCGAGACATTATTCCAGCCGTAGGCACCAGATGTAATTCCCGTCTGCGATCATAAGATTATAGGATCCTAGCTGCCGGCAGCTAAGTGTCAATTACATCCGGCTTGTGCATACAGTGCAACATCTTTTGCTATTCAGCCGATCAGCACTTTACAGCCTGGGTATCTGTTCTTGTAAACGACAGTAGTGCTACATGTTAAACGGCTCTAAAGCGATAGAGCAAACTCACATCTCATTATCTTTTAGCTGAAGAAACTGTTTGTTTGGTTATGCTTGTTATCCAATTTTTGTTTTAAATTTAATTTTCTCATATAAACACCTTACATTATAGAAAAAAAATCTTTTTATAGTACGGAGGTGTCCATATTAAGAAGACATGACTGTATCATCTTTGAAACTAGTTTGCCACAGCCAGTGTTATAATATGTATTGATTTTTTATGCAGTGCCTGCCTTTCCTTGCCCCTTGTGAGGACGACTGAGAAAGCGACTTTGCGCCACAACGACGGATGGCAAGTGTCCCAAGTGTCGTCACCTATAGTGGTCATGTGCTATGTGTTCGCAGCATTGTAAGCCGACCGTGGAGCACTTTCAAAAGGGAACTTTCGCCATGTGCACAGTATGGCCGTGTACAATACGGGGCACGTACAGTCAGAAGAATTATGAGAGGGAACATGCGGGCGCGTGTCACTTGGTACAGGCAGAGCAGCCTAGCAAGTGTCATGCTTGTGCACTGAGGGGCCCTGGTTTGAAGAGCCGAGGCAGAAGTTTCAGCGGCGGTGTCACCGCCCTGGCGGCTTGTCACCGAAGCAGAAACGGGGTTAGCTAGCTTTGCTCGTGGCTGGCTTTGTGTAGTGTGTGTAGACCGGGAACGTAGGCTTATGAACTTCGGCAACAAGAATACTACACGGCTTTTGTGTTTTGGTACGAGCAACAAACGTGACACTATCTGCTACGACTAGCTGCGACCACCCACCGCAGCGGTGAAGGCATCCAAGAAGCAGAACCTGTGTATTACGCCGTTGCCGTAACCCAACAGTGCTCATTTGT